TATAGATATAGATATATATATATATAGATATATATATATATATATATAGATATATATATAATGTGGAGCCAGTAGAGCTGTGATATCTCACACAAGATGGGAGACCTTTGCCACTGAACCTAAAAGCCTGCAGCCGTACATTTCCGTCACTTTACCACAACAGAGGTTGTCCCATTTTCCGCCTTAAGTCTGTCAGTGTCTAACTTTTCCCGCATCAGCTCGGAGCAGCGCCCTGTGGCAGCCGCTCTCCTCCTCCACCTCGTCCTCCTCCTCCTCGCCACGGTAACTTCATTCCTCCTATAATCCCCCAGACTGTCACCAAATCAGCTGCATGAAACAAGAATCTCATTTGTTGAACTGGGAGCACGGTGCAGATGGAAGATCGATTGTTTTTTTTCTCCTCAGAAATCTCTAATTGAGTGAATACGGACCGCAAAGAGAGGGAGAAACGGGAAATGCACCGGCTCTGGTCCGTGGAACCAGAAGGTCATGGGGTCAGGCCCGGCCAAAGGTGAAAAGAAAGGCTTGGTGATGATGTCCGGCTCACCAGAGGCTGTTTTCGATTGCGCTTTCTTGATTTGGGTGAAAACAGAAGGCACTTTTTATCTTCATTCTCAGCCTTTGTTGCTGTCCAGCAGAAAACCATATGACTAACGCGTTACGCATCGTGTATTATGATTAAGGACGTCACACCGGCTACTGCCATAAGACTTTCAATTGATAAAGTTTCTCTTGATCCAAGAATTGAAGCTCTGGCTAGAAGTGATGTGGCTCTCTGCCTCGGGTGGCATCTTATCAAGGGATGGCACAAGCCCTCGAAGATAAAAAAATAAAAATAAAAATCAATAAATAAAATAAATACTATACTAAATATTTATTATACTATAAATACTAATGACAATAAACAAAAGTGATCTGTAAGAAAATATAGCAGCAGGTATTTAAAAAAACAACAACAAAAAAACAGTTTGATGGCAACGAGAGAACAAACGAAACAAAGCAGCTTTTTCATATTTTCGTCGTATTTCGAATGGCCTCAGATGGAGAGGAAGCGTTCAGACTGCGGTGAGGGCCGGTTAAACTTGGAATAAACTGCAGTATTTCAAAACTAGTTTATTTGCAATCCAGCTGAAAATAAGCGAAACTCTTAGGTTTAAAAAAACAAACAAATAGAAATGGATAAAAAGGCTTCCTCCCACAAATCTTTCTTTTAAATCTCACCATATGAAGATGCTTTTTATTATTATTATTATTATTATTATTATTATTATTATTATTATTATTATTATTATTATTATTATTATTATTAATGATATTATTATTATTTATTGGTTAGGATCCTACAGTTTGCTTTAGCAGTGTAAAACAGAGTGATGCAAAAGTCTCCCTTCAAGCTGCTGTTGCCTAAAACAACTCCAACTTCCCAGAATGCACCGCGTTGACGTTGTCAATGTGTGCAGAGATCCACTTCCCCTTCCTTAATCACAATCTTCTCCAAGCTGCTGCTCGAAAGCAGCTAAATGAATGGTTCGGAAAAAAGAAAAATCTCTAATTTCAGAATTTTTTTATTTCATCCAAGAGAATCAAAATGCCAACCACGTCATTTGATGAAAGCAAAATCAAACAGAACTTTTGACATCCCCTCTCATGTGCGTTAAACGGCCCAGGATGTTTATTTATTCATTTATTTATTTTAATTGCGGCGCTTGTTTTGTCCCAAAACGCGTCTTCGTTCCTCACACCGCGACCCTGGTTCGGTCGGACTCCGCCGCACCGGGTTGGAGTCTTTCACAGCCCTTTGCGCACAGCTATGAAAGCGTGGCGCACGCATGCGGCGTCGCAAAACGAAGCGCGCAATCCATCATCGCGCGACGTCAGGGATCTAAATTGCCCTCGTTTTGCCAGGTGCGTCAGGACAAGAGGTACCGCTGTTGGGATCAAAAGATTAAAAAAATAAAACATTTTTTAAAAAAGAGGGCGGTTAAATTTGCGCATATGGATGATTCTAATCCGCTCCTTTGCACATAAATATAGAAAAAGACGCACGATTTCATCCTCGCAGGCTGGAAATAACAGCCTGGATACAAGAAGGCACACACACACACACACACACACACACACACACACACACACACACACACACACACACACACACACACACACAACATTGAAGGCCAAATGTGCTGCTTTCTCTCTTGTTTTTTTATGTAAAAAAAGAGGCAGAAATGAGCCGCAAAGGCGTTTTAAATAGCGTCCATCCCTCCATAGCGCCACCAGATTGCAGCAGCAGCAGCAGCAGCAGCAGCAGCGGATCCTGGACGGATGGAGAAAGAAAAGGATCCCAAGCTTCACGCTCGGACACCTCCATTGTGGCGCATAATAAATAAATCTGCTCTCTCAAAAAAAAAAAAAAAAGCTCCTGACATCTGTCTACAACATGTCTGACTTTCTTTTTGTCCACATCTATATGCACTTGTATAAAAAAATGAAATAATGATAATGTCTCCTGGGATTATTAAATTCAATTTGATGTAGAAGCATAAAATAAGTTTGTTTTTGCTTGTGTGTGTGTGTGTGTGCGTGCGTGTGTGTGTGTGTGTGTGTGCGTGCGTGCGTGTGTGTGTGTGTGTGTGTGTGTGTGTGTGTGTGTGTGTGTGTGTGTGTGTGTATGTGTGTGTGTGTGTGTGTGAAAATAAAACGAGTTAATTTGAACAGATTATTAAACGGGCCTGAATTAATGCTTACGTCAGATGCAAACTTGTCCATCAATTAAGTTGATCAATCGATATAAAAAGCACTTTTAAATCTTCACGAAGGCTGACCAAAGTACTGTAAAATAATAATAATAATAATAATAATAATAATAATAATAATAATAATAATAATAATAATAATAATAATAATTGAGAGTTTGATCATTTTGGTTTGCACCAAAAACACTGACATTTAGTTTTGTTTTGTTTTACTTTTTGAAGTTTCAACACTAACTGTTCAGCAGACAGTGAAATGGGAGGGACATCCGGTGAGGAGGCTTCCTGCACCTGCACTGAAAAAACACACAAACTGTCAGAACTGAATCGGTGAAATTAGGAACTGTTTCTAATTCACATTTCTGAGTTCAAAATGATCAACTGTCCCTTTAAGAGCTGAGGGCCCACATCAGACAGTGCAACACATTTTCTAGACTCTCATGACTCACTTTACATGAATCCTTCTCATGGTTTCGCTCATTTGTTTTGTCATTCAATCCAGAAAAAATAAAAGTAAATAATAAATCAGAATTGGTTTGTGATGAAGGTAGAAAACAACTGGAAAAGTGACGACGCGTATCCTCGACAACAGCAAAGTTTTGCTTGTTATTGGCAACAGTTCCTTCAGAGCTGAAAAGCTTTGCTTGCCAACAATTTTGATTTTAGCATCAATGCTATCTCCAGGCAAATATGGACACAAACTTTCATTTTTGAAACTTTTTAACTAGAATAACTTTTTTTCTTTTCTTTTTTTTGTTTTTGTTTTTCTGCATCAATTCACATTCACAACACACATCAGCTTTACTTATTCTCTGCTGGACGCCACACAACACCAACACCAAGCGCATCTCTGTCTTCTTTAGGTGAACTTGCTTCAATATGTGTTGCTGAGGTTTGTCCCCCACAGTCGATTACATTTTATTGGGTAATATCAGATACCCTTTAGAACTCGATTTTGCAGTGTAACCAGGTCCCACCCAGAGCTGGAGCAGCAAAAAACCTGAAAAATCAGACAAAAAAAAAATCTGATTTTATTCTGAAAAAGAATAAAAGCTACTGTTAGCATAATTTCAATGTGTTTTTCATCCATTTTTTTTGTTTAAAATTGGACTAATTGATTTCCATGTCAATTTCTCACATTCAAACTAGAAATGTTCATGCAAGTCTAACTCAAGGTGTAGAATTTTATACTAATTTCACGAGTTAAATTGCGAAGTTTGTTTTGTTAGTGCTCTGTGACTGAGCGTGCAGGGAAATGACTGCAGCTAAATTCTAAGAAAGATTTTTCGGTGGGATTTGTTTGCACTCCAGCTTCAGCTTTTTCAGCCACAGGGCTAATGGTAATGCTAATGCTAATGCTAACACTGAGGTCTCAAAACTTGCAAGCAATTTTGTTTTGTCAGGTCAATTTTCTGGCTATAAGTTAAACTCTTTTATTCATCTATTCCCACTTGGAAATCTTGATTCAAGAATGACATAAGGTGGAAATTGTTACACCGATTTTATGAGTTAAATTATGAAGTTGGTTTTGTCAGTGCAGTGTGAAACTGACAGCAGTTCTATTCTAATCAAGTTGTTTTGGAGGGATTTGTTCACAAAAGAAATCATTGTTGCAATGAGACAATTATTTTTGCATTAAATAAACATTCGGTTGTGGTTGAAATTTGATAAGTCGTGCATATTTGTTATTATTATTATTTTCTTTTCTCTTTTTTTTACAGCGCATTAAGTTGCGCGTGTTATTTGAGTTTTTTTTTTTTTTTTTTTGCTTGATTTCTTCTTCCAGTGAATAAATCCAAACCTTGTTCCCGCAATAAACAAAACAAAACCAAAACAAAAAACAAGCGACATCACGCGCAATTAAACAAATGTTGCCGTGGACCCAAACATTCCTCAAACGAGTCGAACATCGACTCCAGATATTTTATCAGGGTGTTTTTTTTTCTTTTTTTTCTTGGCTGCAATTTGGAGGAGAAATCAAAGCCAATTACAGGAACGAGGAGGAATGAACTTGTGAGAAGCGAGAGGATGGAAGAGGATGGAGGAGGATGGAGGAGGAAGGCGGTGTGGGAGTGGAGGCTGTCGGGCTCTGGCGCTCAAGCTGACATGCTTTGGTTCTGCGGCTCTGATTGGTTCTCGTTTGCAGGAGCTCATGGGTTCATTCCGCCGCTAAGCGCCTCCCCGTTCCCCTAAACTACATTATAATGCAACGAACCTCCCTTTTAACCACAAACCGAATTTGCTTTCATTTAGGCTATATATTTTTCCTTAAATAGGTTAAAGTCATAGAGATTTTTTTTATTTATTATTTATTTTCATTTTATTTATTTATTTTTTGATTTATTTCTTTCTTTTTTTTTTTTTTTTTTTTTTGCGCGTGTGGGAACAGCATTCCGCCCTGGAGCGGTGCGCAATGCTTTCTCACGCCGACCTCCTGGATGCTCGCCTCGGTGAGTTATCGTCACCAAACTCCGGTCTCCAACTCTACTGTAAGCTGGAGGAACTTTATAATCTTACATTCGAGCTCGGGAAAAAAAAAAAAAAAGTATCCAATTTGCTCCTTATGACGCCTTAATGTGCCTGAATAGAGCCAAATTCGCTTAATTCATTGGAAAAGTAATTATTTGTTATTATTATTATTATTGCTGTTATTGCATTACGCTGTAATTTGATTTAACGCATTTTCCGAGATCTCGGTTTGATCGAATTGAGCTGAGGAGGATTTAAGGAGCAGATTGCGGGGCGCATGGTGGATAGTTGTACTTAATTCTTCTAGTTGTGCTGGATGGATTAATGCATGCATTCTATTTTTTCTATTTTATAATAATAATAATAATAACAGTAATAATAATGCATCAGTTTTTTCTTTATAATTCAACATTTTCTCATGTAATATTTCACATTTCTGTGCATGTCCAGTTTTTCTCTAACTATTGTTTTTTTTCTCTTCCTCCATAGCAGGGCTTTCATTGGTGCCAAAAAAACAAACAAACAAATACAAATCTCACCTGCTCCTGGTTGTTGGTTGTGCAGGGATGAAGGACGCCGCGGCGGAGCTCCTGGGCCACAGGGAGGCTCTGAAGTGCAGGCTCGGGGGCGGCGGACCCGACCCGGGACACTCCGGGGAGCTCGGTCCGGACGGCGTGGAAGGAACCACGATGCTCCCCGGTGACGACATCAGCGGCGGCGGCGGCGGAGGCGGAGGCGGCGGCGGCTCCAATCCGGTGCAGGTGAACAGCAAGGAGCAGGAGAAGCAGCAGCAGCAGCAGCAGCAGCAGCACAACAACAGCGGCGGAAACAACTCAAACCAGTCCGGAGGGCAGCAGAGCCAGAAGCAGAAGCGGCACCGGACCCGCTTCACCCCGGCGCAGCTCAACGAGCTGGAGCGCAGCTTCGCCAAGACGCACTACCCGGACATCTTCATGCGGGAGGAGCTGGCGCTGCGGATCGGCCTGACGGAGTCCAGAGTTCAGGTGGGCCCCGTTAACATGCACATTTCTGGGGAAAATTAATAATAATAATAATAAGAAGAATGAAGCTTTAAACAAACAGAAGATTTTACAGAGAGAGGGAAAAACAAGCGCTCTGGTTCATATTTGTGATACATAATACATATTTGTGGACGCAGATTTTATTGGTGGAAATCAAACATTGAATAAAAATCGCAGAAAAATTACCCAAACAAGCTTCAACTCAACCAACGTGTGTTTAAAGGTTTCCAGCCTCAGAGAAGCATTTCATCCCTGAATTTCATAAGGATTATTTTATTTTTATTATGTTTTATTTATTTATTTTTGCTTGCAGGAGGAGTGGAAAACCTGGAAGGAAAATTAAAGCAAAATAGGACCCTGAAAAAAAACTTGAAATGATAATAATAGAGTAAAAATAAAATCGGTGAAAACGGAAACGAAAACGCTTTTCGTGAAAGTCACCGCATGTCACCGTGTTCCTTCACTACAGGAAACACGTAAGAGAAAACAAACAAAGGAAACAGACGCATTAAACAAACAAAAGCGATGCTGCAGATTGTTAAAAATTCACTATTATAATTCACACAAATCAATGAACAATAAATAAATAAATACCGAAGATAAGATTACTGGATTCAACTCAACTAAAGGCAGGGCTTCTTATTTTTGATTATTAGCACTTTTATTTTTACCTATTTTATTTCATTTCATTTTATTTCATTTGTACAATTTCGTCATATTTCGTCATATATATATATATATATATATAATATATATATATATATATATATATATATATATATATATATATATATATATATATATATATATATATATATATATACGTATATATATATATATATATATATATATATATATATATATATATATATATATATATATATATATATGTCGTCAAATCAAATCATAAACTCATATTAGCAACAACAATATCAACTATGATAACAATTGCGACAGCAGTAGTGATGAAATGACGACGAAAATTTACGACAGGACGCTTTTGAGGCTTGTAAAGTTGGCAAACGATTTAATGATAATCGTTACCGATTTCAAAACCGGCGCTTCCGAAGAATATATATATATATACATATATATTTATTTATTTATCTATTTATTTTCAGCCCAAGCTGCAGTCACGAGGCGTCTCTGCCATTCATTCTCTCATTCGTTCATTCATTCAGCCTAATTAAGATTGGCCTGCATGTCCTGCCCATCCCCTCTAATGGATCTGCAGGGACCCGGACGCTGATAGCAGCTTTATTACACTCATTTAATGGCCGCTGATCAAGCACATATTAGCTTTCAACTCTTCTGAATTTATGTCATGCTCAAAGTTCTCCTATAATTTGCTTACACACTCCGTCTATTGCTTCTCCCCTCCCCTTCAATCCCCACCAGCGTTTTGTCTTAGTGTTTTTTAAAATTATTATTCGAACGTCGACTCTGCAAAAAAAAAAAAAAAAAAAAAACCTGACTGAGAAAGAAAGAAAGAAGGAAAGAAAGACACATATTGCAATTGCACTTTAGCTGTTGCCATGTGAAATAATACTCTAATAATCATTATGAGTGTCCGGGCCCTTCCGGTGTCTGGAGTATTTGCATAAAATCAGAATTAGTGAAATGACGCGGCTCAGAGTGAGCGGTGAAGCGGAGGAAGCGATGGGCCTGTCAGCGCGCCGCGCGTCTTAATGCCGCGGCGCCGCGCGCACAGACAGCGCGGCACTCTGTCTTTGCAGGCAATGAGAGATTGCGTTTTTCTTTTCTCTCTTTTTTTTTTTTTTTTTTTTTTTTGCGGGCGCCGAAAAGCGTAATGCATTTCGGGCCGGATTTCACGGCTGGCTTCGCCGGGAGCGAGATGGTCCCGCTCTTATTACCGCGGCCCGCTCTCCCAAGCAAATCTCCACATTCATCACAGGCGCGTCTGCCGCTTACAGGGGCCCAAGGACTCCGGGAACCCACAACAAACTATTGATCTCTGCCGCAATATTGTCTTTGTTAGGGGTGCGCGGGCCGTGGAAAGCCGGCTACCCCCAAAGCAACATTTAGGGCGCAAATTTGATTTATTCTATTAAATATTATGTGTGTGTGGGGGAAAGTAAGGATCTGACATCAGCTTGCAGTCGTCGCCGTTTATATATTTAGAGAACTGTTGACATTATTCAACTCTCTCATGCTGAAGTTTTACTGACCACAAAAATATCATTGTTGAGCTCACATGTCCATGTATTCATACTTGAATCGAGAGTATTGTTCATTGTTTATATGAAGAGTGTTGCTTATTTTGTCAATATGTGTTTTCGATTAAAGTGCGATTAACTAATTCCAGACCAAGAAGTTTATTTGATCGATATATGGTTTTCAATTAAAATGCGATTAATCGCGGTTGAGTAATTATAGATCCTGCAAATTAATTCGATTGGGGATTGGATATATTTATATATATGTGTGTGTGTGTGTGTGTGTGTGTGTGTGTGTGTGTGTGGGTGTGTGTGTGTGTGTGTGTGTGTGTGTGTCGTGCACAATGACAATAAAATTGATTCTCATATGGGCTCACGGTACTTACCTGAGGTCGGTTACAGTTATTTTTCTCATATCAAATGCTATAATCGACCGTTTCTCATATGAAAAGATCGAGATATGAAATGGATGCTCCTGGATACAATATAGGGGTCTGAATCGGCGATTTGACCCGGAGCACTGTTTTCCATTCGGTTGATTTATTGCTGCTCGTTGGCATCGGGGTGATGATCACACAATGATGTCATGGCAACCCCTCGCTGTCAATGCGCCACCTCCTGTCTGACTCTCCGGCCGCCTGTCTGTCTGTCTGTCTGTCTGTCCGCAGGTCTGGTTCCAGAACAGACGCGCCAAGTGGAAGAAGCGCAAGAAGACCACCAACGTGTTCCGAGCGCCGGGAACGCTGCTGCCCACGCACCACGGCCTGCCCCAGTTCCCGTCGGCGGCGGCCGCGGCGGCGGCCATGGGCGACAGCCTCTGCTCCTTCCACGCCAACGACACCCGCTGGGCCACGGCGGGGATGCCCGGCGTATCTCAGCTGCAGCTGCCGCCCGCCCTGGGCCGCCAGCAGGCCATGGCGCAGTCCCTGTCTCAGTGCAGCCTCGGCGCGGGGCCGCCGCCCAACTCCATGGGTCTGTCCAACATGTCGTCCAACGGGTCCGGGCTGCAGTCGCACCTTTACCAGCCCACGTTCCCCGGGATGGTCCCGGCGTCTCTCTCCGGCCCCACCAACGTGACCGGCTCGCCTCAGCTGTGTAGTTCCCCGGACAGTGACGTCTGGAGAGGGACGAGCATCGCGTCGCTGCGCCGCAAAGCGCTGGAGCACACAGTCTCCATGAGTTTCACTTAGTGCCGAAGAGATTTCTGCATTTAGATCTCTTGCATTCAAAAACGACAAAAAGAAAACAAAACAAAAACACAAAACCAGGATACTTGTGAGTCTGCAGGCACCTGGCTCTTTTTTTTTTTTTTTTTTGTCCTCCCTCCGCAAATACGAGAAGAGACTCCGTCGGGCCTGCTGGCCTCGTGTCCACCACAGGGCTGGTTCCGGTCAGAAGCTATAAGTTATTATTTCGCATGTGGCCTCTCTGTCTATTTATTTGTCTATTTCAATGAACTTATCGGTTCCGTTCGGCATTCATTTGGCTCCGCGGCCGTTTCTGAGGACGCGCATTCTGGAGACGCCGCAGGAGCACAACGAGGTTTGCAGACTTCACTTTTCCTCCTGCCGCCAAAAAAAAAAAAGGGGGGCCAAAGGGTTTCTCACACTGGAAGTGCCAAAGCAAAAAGAAATGGATAATAATAATAATAATCATAATAAAATAATATTAATTATAAAATACATCAAAAGTTTGCTTGGAGGTTTCAAAGACTGACAACTGAAATTCATCTTCTACCAGGAGAGAGAGAGATGATCTCAATCTAACAGGAATCAGGACAACCTGGATGATGACTTGACTGCATGTGCTGTCAAAAGCAAAATATAGTGACGATAACAATAATGATGAGTAAAGAAAATACAAGAAAAAAGATAGTGGGGGAGGGGGGAAACCCAAAAGTGAGACATGGAAGCTGACTTTACTATAACCTGTTTCTATAGGATGTTTTTTGTGTAGCGGAAAGCGACTCTTGTTGCCATTTGGTCGGTTTGTGATGACCTTATGTTCCCAGAACTCTGTCTGTGCTTATGATCAAATATGCCTTTCTTAAATGTTGGAACCATTTATTTATTTACTTCAGGTTTTTTGTTTTGTTTCACGGACATGTTTATATCAATTCAGTGTAAAATGAGCCAATAAAAACCATTTTCAGTAATGTCACATCACGGATTGACCCTCGTTTCTTGAAGCTCGAAAATGGGCTTGAAATGGTTAAACGAGAAAAATAAAAAAAAGTCAGCAGAGGTTCCTTTGGAATTGTAATCAAATTTAGGCATACATTATAAAGATCATCCCCATATGCATCTTATTTCTCCTTATTTCTGTGTTTTCTGGTGAAAAGTTGCATGTCATCGGCTCAGTGGTGGCTCTATCATGAATGTGGCCCTGGGCTAGATCCTCCTTCTGGACCCCCTGGCAACCATCACTCCTTCAAACCACTTTTTAAAATATATTTGCTCAACCAGTCCAGGGTATTTTTTTTTTTTCGTTCTTAATCTTTGTGAAAAAAAATATTGCTTAAAAGTGATGAACATGATTATGGCATGTAAACATTTTCACCTGACAACCACACAGTCAAGTTGATTGCTGATATCTGACTCAGAGTCCAAGGTTCAGCTTCCTGAGAGGTTTTGCTGTTTAAAATCTGGATCAGACTCAAATTCTCAACAATTTGAAACTTTCTCAAATCCAAATTCCACGTCGGTTCTGTGAGTCGATGCCGCTGGTGAGACGACCCGCTCGTCAGCCCACGATTCTGCGCTGGACACGGTTAGACGTGATCCTTCAGTTAAATTTGAGTCAGAACGTTTCAGTTTGATCCTTATGGAGCATCACTAGAATCAGACGATTTCCTGTTTTGCAGCGTAACGAGTCACCGTGTTGTTATTTTCTCTAAGTGCTTAAGCTTGGACTACAGTTTGTTGGTTGACTAGATGAGAAAGTCAGCAGCAAAAATCTTTTTTATTTCTTTGTTTTTTTTCATCAAGCTTTTATGTGACCCTCAGGGGTTATGCCACCCAGGGTGGAGAGCCATGTTGCCCATACCACACTGTCACACTGATGACCTCTTGGTATTTTTGTTAGCATTTGGCATAGAGACGTTACAATCATGCAGAATCTGAAGCGTTAGTTTCTTTCCGTGTTCAGTCTGACTCATCTTCATGGCTGAGAAAATTTTTTTTGATGATGATTATAAGTGATGTCTTTTGGTGCTGGAGGGAACTCTATTTCAACATGATCCCAAATGAACAACCGTGGCAAAATCAGGGCTTTCTTTTGTGAGCTTCAATGCTCCAAACAGACACAGTGGGGTGAAAAGGTGTCGCTTTTTATTGCATAGAATCTGTTAAACAACAGCCTCTCTGATACGAGGTAATATCCACAACAGGCTCTAAATCAAAAATCAACTATAAAATCTCTGATTCGGCTTTCAAACGCAGCATAGAAAAGTCTAAGAACAGGTACATTGTGACGGTCTGATCTCTGAGGGCGTGTTTATTGTGCCATTCTTTCACGATGCCTTTTTCTCCACCTGTGCTTTGATCATTAAAAAAATAATTTAATTGCCGAGACGAAGGCAGGCTAATTAATTTACCTTGGCTGCCACAGTTTCACCGTGGTTTGTTATACACAATAGAAATATTTACTTAAAAAGTAATTGCTATGATGCACACACACGCACGCACACACACACACACACACACACACACACACACAGATATATATATATATATAATATATATATATATAATATATATATATATATATATATATATTATATATATATATATATATATATATATATATATAGAGAGAGAGAGAGAGAGAGAGAGAGAGAATGAGATTAATTGTATATATATGATTATATATATGGAAATATCCATATATAGTTATTTATTGAGACACAGAGAGAGAGAGAGAGAGAGAAAAGAAGGTGGAGCACCACAGAGAACTTGAAACAAACAACCAAAGGAGATGATTGTTGATTTCATGAGGAAAAATATTATATCAAAGGTTGTTTCCTTCATGGGAGAAAAAGTTGAGGAATTGTTCATCTGGACTGGAGTCACAACAGAGATGCGTCTATAACAAGCAACAGAGGAGACTGGACTTCTGGAGGAAGTCCAATGTTGAGAGCGTCATCTGTTGGGGCAGCAACAGTCCCTGGTATAGAAGGCTGGTTCTGTTCTGGTTCTGTTCTGGGGATGTCTGCGGAACCTCTGGAGATGGTAATGCAGAGAAGGATTACTCATAGGATCAAGAAAATTATGGACAATCCTGACCATCTTCTTCACGATGCTGTCTTGGGAGGGAAGAGCATCTGTCTTCAGTCAGAGGTTTCTTCAGGTTCAGTGTGGTACAGATTGCTTCAGGAGATCTTTCCTGTCGAACACCCGTTGGGATCTTTAATGGCTCTTTGAAAGTATTGATGAGCTTCAACATTGAGTTGTCTTTGGGTTTCAAGTAATTTTGAATTTACCCTGAGGAAGGAGGTTGAATTACATCTGATATTGACATGGTAACAGATGAAACTAAATTTAAACCGGAGGTCTCACAGGTCTATGATCCCATAAATAAGAAAGTCTACAAACACAATATATAACAAATAAATACATAAAAATCCCACCATAGTAAATAATAAGTGGTGGAGTGAAAAATCACAAGAAACCAAAAAATATTAAGAACAATGATTCCAAAATGTTGTGCTTTGGTTGAGGAAACATATCTTCTTCATCCTTGTTGATCATGTCTTCGGCCTCAAAAATGGTTTGGGACAGGTGAAAAAGAGTCAGACTCGTTTCAGACGGTCCAGGATACGTCGAAGAGAGAAGAGTGGAACTCGTTTCCCGAGAAACGAGCTCCATTGACGTTCAGTCAAAAACATTGACTCAACGTCAATGTTTTTGAAAAAGCGGGAAGGCGCTCGGAGAGGAAGAAGCCGTTAATACAAAAAACAATATTCTGCTACAAAAACATAATTTTGCGATTCTGGTGTTTCCATTACGTGAGAAAGTTTTTCCAGTGAGACGTCATTTAAAACCCCTCCCCCCAAAAAACCAAAACATCCTCCAACTACTTCCTGTTGTCGTCTTCTCCCTGGTTTTGCGCCAGTGGTGACGTCCTGTTGTTGATCATGTGACTCCCGTGATGCAGGAAAAAACGGGGGTTTCATTCATTTTATTATGATTATTATTTTCAAAATTGCCACGTGCAAATTGTTATGGTCCGCAGAGCCAGAAAAAACTCAGCTTGCAGTTTCTGAGACGAAAAGTGTAACTTTGTCCTGGTGTCTCCACAAAACAGACGGCATCATGAAGAAAGAGCGTCATATGGAAATATTGACGTGGCAACAAAAACAGCAGCCAGAAGGTTAAAGCTGGAGACAAATGGGTCAAATGACTCTCAGCGTGTCATCAGGAAAGTTGCAAAACAAATGGCTTGAGGTCAACAAGGTCATCCATCAGAAAGCTTCGATCAAATCTGAAAAGGTTCTGTGTGACCGAGGCGCCATATTTGCTTCAGCAGAGCGGGTGTTCTGGTCCTGGACTGAGATTTTTATTTATTTTTTCCGCAGTCGTGGCGACAGATGCGAAACAATATTATATAAAATGTAATAATTAGCTTCACTATCAGCCAGGTTAATTAGTTTGCGGGAACGGGTAACCTGTTTTTCATTGGGTAATTTGTCACACAGACGACGAGGCAGCCAATCAGTGACCCCGCTGTCGGCGGGATCATTTCTCCCACAATGCTGTGCAGCGAGTGTGTCGCGGGGAGCGCGGACGTGAGCCAATGTTTACCTCCCACTTATTCCACACAAATAAACGAAATCAGTCAATAAACCATCCGAGGGTGAACGCGTCTCTCTCTCTCGCTCTCCAGCAGGGATTATGAATGGAGTCCATTAATTTTTTTTTTCCCCCCACATGTGAGGTTGTGCGTCTGTGTCAGACGGAGACGCGGGTCGTGTTTGCGCCAGTAAGGGAGTCTCGATAAAACCCTACGCATTTGTGGAACCCGTGAATACAAATCGGGGTTCGCTTCCCTGCAGACTATTACGATTAGCAGATCCATGCACATTTGTCCTTTAAGAGCAAAGGTGAAGGAGAGTCCATGTTGTGTATTTATACACTCAAAAACAGCCACAAGTCATTCCTTTCTAAATTAAAGCTGCAGTATACTTTTATGAAAGTATCTATAAATTATTCCTTTTTTTTTTTACATATTTGTTAAAACGTCACTATGCCATGACAGAATAACAGGAGACGGATAATCTGTGAGAAAATGCTTTCTCCCAGCGCTAACTAGAAACAACCAATCAGAGACAGGAGGCGGGTCTCAGCGCGGTCAATCATGCTAGCATACGCGCCTGCTCTCAGGATCTTGTCATAAATGCTAACGCTACTTTGAACAGTCAACAATGACAGGTTTCTTGTGACAGTAAGTTTTTTTCTTCTCCTTTAGAACATCAAGCATTGCATACACCAGCGCATGATAGACAGCGCTAAGACCCGCCTCCTGGCTCTGATTGGTTGGTTTTGACAGTTTCTTCACAGGGCAATAGTGGTTCAGAGAAGGAGCTTGATAAAACACACACACACACACACACACACACACACACACACACACACACACACACACACACACACACACACACACACACACACATATATAAATATATAAAGTTACATACTGCATCTTTAAAGCCAGTTTACTACTACTAATAAAAATAATAATAAATAAAGCTCTTGGGCGTCTCTCCAGGCACTCAGAGGGATTCGTTTGTGAATTCAAATTCATGGGAACTTTAATCTTATTTGACAGTCGGAGTCTCCGAGTGTCTCCGTGATTGTTATTCCAGATGGCGCCGAGAAGACTCCATTTGAGGCTTTTATTAATTTTTCGTTTAAAACTCGGGGGCCCCTCCCTCCTTCCCCACCCGGCCAGTGATGAGGCTGACTGACACCTCGCTGCTCCCTCCATTTGTCATTGTTTGAAAAGGTCTTAATTGTATTACATGCAAATGAAGAGATTTGATTTCTGCCTATTATCTGTTCATAAGAGAAAATGAACAGAACATTAGTGGGTCACTAAATGACGGAGGGAGCGGCGGGAGGACGTGAGGGAGACGAGGCGGCGGTGATCAGTTGGGGGCTCCGCTGCGGAGTGAAAGGGGAGACTCGGCAGCTTTGCGCTGTCATGGTGTGTGTGTGTGTGTGTGTGTGTGTGTGTGTGTGTGTGTGTGTGTGTGTGTGTGTGTGTGTGTGTGTGTGCGTGTGTGTGTGTCTGTCTTCCCAACTTTTTGCTGTTTCGGAATAATCCCGGCAGCCTTCCGCGGGGACTGTGTGTGTTGTAATGCCGCGGGGTCAGGGTGGATAATTAACCCGCGATGACTGAAACACAGCGATTACAGTCACGCCCACGTGACAAATCAAAGTGACAGAGGCTGGGAGGGAGGCGCCGTCTCTCCGTCGGCCAGCGCGTGCGGACGCCGTCGAATGCCACGTACAGGCTTAATCAGGTGCACTTCCGGCTTTTGTTCTTCTTCTTCTTTTTTTAAATTTTTTTTAGCTTTAAATCTTTTCTTCTTCGTTTTTTTTCAATTTCAAATCTTTTTTTTTTTTCTTATTATTATTTCGAACAAACTTTATGGCCCCAATTTAGCTCCGGATTTAAAAACACAAAGCCTCACCTATTATCTTTCGGTCTAGTTTCTAAGTGCAAAACTTGAATTAAGACTAAACTAACTTAAAAGATATCCTGTCAGTAAAATAAGCTTGTTTTAAGTAAATAATTCCTTAATATTAATGGAAATGTATTAGTTATTAGAATATTCCACTTATAACATGTGGAAATTGTAACGTTAAAGTAAATTTATCTGCCAGTTGAACCAATACCTTTTCACCAACATTAAGGAATTATTTATTTAAAAGGAGCTACATCTTGCTCATAGGTTATTTATTCACTGAATCGCAACACGTGGATCTCTTTAGAGTTTGAGAACTATCCAATAGATTTGTTTAGGGCACAGGCTAATTTTTAGCATGTTTAGCATAGCCTAGCTTTGCAACTCTTTTTTTTAGCTCCTTTGTAGGAAGGCAAATTAGCCGCTTCTCTCTAATCTCATGCATTTACATAGGGCTGGACAATATGACTGACAAACATATCACTTTAATTGTTTCATGTCAACCGATATTGATAATTGTCGATATACTGATAATTATTGATTAGGTTTTTGCCTTACACATCTGAGTAATTGTTAAACTGGTGGGGTCACCTTTCCCGTTTCATCCACAGTTTTATTTTGAAAGATTTATGAGGCACGGAGGGGAAACATGAAACTGCTGCTGCACAAGTCACTCAACAGGCTGTGACTCAGCAACCAAGTCTTTCTTCTTCCTGCATCCCCCAGAACGCTGCGCAGTTCAGTGAATATTCTACACATTGAACAATCTATCACTTGTATCATCTATTGAAATCATTCGTGTGTTTGTATTTCTGCTGCAGTTTTGCAAAATTCGATATGGCCACCCCCAAAAAAAGAACACCCACCTCATCCAAGCAGCAAAACTTTGTGGCGAAAATCAAGTTTTTTTTCTTCTTCTTTGTTATGCTAATATATTTTCAAATTGTTAAATTTTACAAAGCTGTGGTGGAAACACAATTGAGGCGTCATCAATTAGCAAACACAGTCATCATGGTGGGAGGCAGAACGAAGGAGGAAGTCCAAACTCGGCAGGAATGGAGGAAGCCACCACAAGTTTGGTGACTTCAAATAGTTTGCACTAGTTTTTAGCACAAAAATGAACACCGTATTGTTTTGAGTTTTGCTTGTTAAAAGAAGAAAGTTGAAAGCGGACAAATCGCCCCTCCACTCCACAGTCGTGCACTATTTGTAGGTCAGCCACGTTGAAGACGACACAAAGACCCAGTGAAGTTAGCAGGGACTGCAGATGTCGTGTTTGAAAGGATGTGTGTTCCGCTCCCGTTTCAGTGCGCTGAGGCCTGAGCAGCGCCGGAGGCCGCAGCAGGTAAAGCAGGACGTAGTGAAATCCTGATGAAGACGGACAGTGAGAGGTGCTGGCCTGGAGCGAGAGAAGCTTTCTGCTGCAGGACTCGGCAGAGTGGTGCGCTCCGGAGGATCCGCGTTACTGAAATGCTCCTGTTGGTCCATTGTTAAATTACAGAGTAATTCCTCTTCCATCATCATAACCATTTGTTTTCCTTCCCGGCCCAGAGGAGGATCAGATCAGGCACTATGTTAGAGAAAAGGTGAGAGGCTTTTTCTCTCTCTCTGTCTCTCATTGTAGCTCCTGGTTGGTCTGCAGCGCAGTGATCCAGACTTTCACTGCACAGCGGATTCCTGCTGTTGGGTCACATCCTACCAAACGTCAACTCTGAGCGTCAACCGTTTCCCTCTGCTGTTCTTAAATCACATTTTCTTCTACTTTCTGAGTCACTAATCCGAACAGCTACTAATGAAATTAAAATCACAGTTGTCTATCTTCAAAATCCATTTCTGATTTGTGCAGGACTCCTACACAAATATGATACAGACATCTACTGATTTTTAAAAATTATTATTAGTCAGAAATGTTTTTTGTGAGCAATTAAAAAACAATTTTTTCAACTGATTTTAGTCACATTTTGGCAAAAATGACTAAGCCAAAAATCAAATGCAAAACACAAACCAAGGCATGAAAAGAGGCCGGTAAAAATATTCGCACCTCATGAATTTTCCGTATTTTATCACAATGCAGACAAAAAAGAAAACATGAATTTGTTTCACTGGAATTTAAAGTGAGAGACCAACAAAAGGTGGGACACATTTGTGAAGTGGAGCAAAAATACCACATGATTTCAAAACATTGTTTTTAGCAAATTTAAGAAACTGGAAAGTGCGGTGTGCCAATAATTTGGCACGTCGCAATAATTTCCTCTGAGTGCAACCAATTGTCTTTGGAAGATGAAGAAGGGAAAAAGTTGTGGAGAAGTTTAAAGCACTACAGACATTTTTGAATAATAATAATAATCCATCCATTTTCTAACACTCTTGTCCCTACAGGGGTCAGGAGGTGCTGATTTCCAATTGGCGTTCGGGGCAAGAGGCGGGTTTCGCCCTGGACAGGTCGCACTATCACTATCATTAATAATAATAATGATAAATCTTTTAGCTCTTAAAAGATTAAGAGAAAAGCAGGCCGCCCTTTGCTCCTCTTTTCCACAGTTACATTCCCGCCAGTGATCCCTCTTGCTGAGATTCCTGTGTGCTGGTGAAACCAAACGCAGCCTCGCATTTAAAAGCTCATTCACTCCACGTCGACCGATCCCTCTCCCCCTAACCCTTCTCCTCTTCTCCGGCTGCCCTTGAGCTTTTTTCTATTACCGCATGGAAAACACCTCGCAGGCCCCTGACAAGCGCGGCGGATCGACACTAAATCAGAAATCAGTGCCAGCCGCAGATCTGAGCCACCATGAAGGTCACAGGGCCCCGCGCTGCATGTCGTCTCAATCGGGGGAGCAGCGGCAGACACGGCCGGGGTGACGCCGCGTAGAGTCGGTGTTACCAGGAGACGCGCTGACAGGATGGGGGAGGAAGGGGGCGGAGTGGAGGAACCAGGAAATTTGCTGAACAAAAATACTTTTCTGAGCGCCTTCTCGTTGCGATTTGTGAGGTAACCCAGGAAACGCCTGAGAGAAACTATTAGATCTTTCCTCACTCCACCGACACAGGATTGGCGCCTCCACCCGAGACGGTGGCGTTAGGACATGCTGCCATCTAGTTGTAGAGAAATGAACAGAACCAGCCATACTGAATGCTTCTCAATTTTTTTGAAAACAGTTTTTAAAAAAAATCTTTTTGTTGTTTTTTCAGCCCCACTGCTGTTTCCTCTGCGATATATTTTTCTTTCGCAAAAAAAAGAAACTCCCTCATATACTCATGTCTCAATTGAGCTCAATAGAACTTTAAATCCCACTTAAAACTAACAGTCAGGCTTTTTTTTCTTCTGAATTAATCAAATTATGCTTAAAAATATCCAGACACCGATACAAAAAGCCACAAAAGGTCAGGTTCTTATTTATTTGTTCTGCTATTTTGTTGTAAATCTTAAAACTTACCCTCAAAACCAAGCTGCCATGTGTGACGCCCCCTGATGACATCACAAAAGGCAAGTTGATGTTTCATTTGTCCAGGCTTTTTAAAATCACCTTCTACCTTTAAAGTGGTACAAGTTCGGGTGATTCTGAGAAAATACGGCAATAAATAAATAAAATAAAATAAAAAGTTCACAAACAGGTAGGTTGCGACCACGAATGCCTTACAATATTGAAATCTAAGGCGCAGAGTTTGCTAATACAGGCTGATCAGGCAAATAAATACAAAGCAAACTTTTTTTTTACCCTGTTTATTTGGATTTCTGCCAAAGAACGTCAAATAGCCAACAGCACAGCGCTTAACACAGAAAAACACAATATTTGTCTTTTTTAAGTACAGGATTCACAATGTGTTACACATTCCTTCTCTACAAAAATACTGTTTGTTTAATTTAAACACTGTTTAGTTTACTGTTAAGCTGGGAGGAAAAAAATAAAAATAATACAGTATATTTTTAGATTTTTTTTCTTTTAGTAGGTTATTTTTGATACGATGACTTTGACCCACGTGACAAAAAGTTTGGACACCTGTACTAGTTTTCAGACCTTAGAGCCTGTGACGTATGTACCTCTGTCATAACAGCTGTTGTATATTCGAATAAATCCTAAGAATAAGATAAAAAAAACCCCAAACAAACAAGAAAGTCAAAATAAACTTCGACCTTTCTAACAGAAGACGTGATGCCATTTAGATTCACTTCCCCAAAATTAATCGTCTTGTCTAGTTTGTCCCTGAAAAGCTTCCGTAGTCACATGAACGGTTTGTTGTGGTTGTTCCTTTTTTGTTGTTTTGTTTTCATTTTTACACTAAGTCATTTCAATTCTGACAGTATAATCGTCTCTATTCTGTTGTAATATTACGATTCTTCGGATTCTTTCACTTATATGTCTCATAAACAAGTCACGCGAGAACGTTTGGGATTTTTCGGCTAGTCCGGTGGCTGGATGAGGCGTGTGTCACCCCGCAGCCTGAGCCAGACGCGCAGGGAGGCTGTTGCTAGTCAGATTTTATTGTTCCTACTTCGAGGGAGTCGGTTTACGGCGGCTGCTTCTGGAGCCGCGGGTCCGTCATGCTGCGGTGGATTCTCGGAGGTCGGGAGGCGCAGAGCTCGGGGCAGGTAAGCTAGCTGCTGCTGTCGGTGTTGTGTCGAGTGTGGTCACCCCAAGAAGATGCGGCTCCACCTCGGATCTTGCTGTGTTGTCGGGACCTTTGAGCTTCTGAATTCAAACAGCGGAAATGGTTGCGAGTTCAAGTACGCATTACAGTGTCTACTTTTAAATTCACTTAAAACGAATCCAGCTTTTCTTGAATTTCGCCATTGTTTTTTTAAATTTTATTTATTATTTAACGCTTTATAAACAACCCTTGACCTTTTCAAGTGTCAATGTTTGCTTATTAGCTTTGTGACCAAAACACCTGCCTGTTATTATTCAGAAACATTCATTACTATTTTCACAAACAGCCAATAAAGCGCTTTTCCATTGCAGCTTCTTTGAATAATAATAATAATTATTATTATTTTTAATTAATAACGAGGTCAAACTGACTGAATTAAGAGGGGAAACATTGGCTTAGCACATTGGTTCCCAGCTGACGTTGAGTTTTTAGGATATTCGGTAGACGCTCACATTTATCTGAATAACTTAAAAGAAACTATTACGAGTGAAAGTACCTGATTTTTACTTTTAGGTGAATAAAAATAGAAAGTCCTGGATGACTTTTTGTTGCTGTTCAGCAACCGAGCTGCTATTTATAAACTCTCCTCCAAGAATAGAAGATTTGCTAAGATGTTAAAATTTTAAAAAAACCCAAAAACGTGTTGTATATATTATACACATTTTTTTTCTCCCCTCAACAAATAGTAGTTTTGTGAGTTCACCACATGGTTCCCTCTCTCTCTCCCTCCCTGCCTCTGCCTCTCCTGTGTGTGCAGAAAAGCTCCGTGTTGTGCATCGGAGAGGAACAGCCCAAAAACTGCTTCACTGAGCTGCAGGTGCTGAAAGGACATTTTGACATCGTTCGATTTCTGGTGCAGATTGATGACTTCAGGTAAGCCGACCACAAACCCCCTGTCTGCCCCCCCACCACTCCGCCTCCTTCCCCTCCCAGCCTTTTCTCTAACCTCTCCACCCTTGGCTGGCCTCCATCCCTCTGTGATTGACAGGAGATCCTCACCTACTGCAAACTTCCAGAGCATGACAAGAGGCCCATCATCACCAGATAGCAATCGTGTGCACGGTTCTATCGCGCACTCAGATAGAAGGCCGCCGCTGGTCTCTCTTTCTGAAAATAAAAATACAACAAAAGAAGAAGAAAAAACCCCAAGCAGAAGCCAAGCAGCAGGCCGGCATGCTACAGTGGGTCAGCATAAGTGGTCAGATGGGGATTTATAACGGAGCTAAGTAAGTGTGTATGTGTTAGGAGGTGGGGGTTGTTTTACGCCTGGACTCCTGCGGTAATAATCTCCTCCTCGGGGGCCTGAAGGCTCGCGGTCGGAGGTGGGGTGGGGGGCAAAGGCCAGAAAATTCCCTCCAGATTGCTTTTGAAAGTCCCAGAAATATATCCTCAACAGTTCCTCTCTTTTCATTTAATCTCCTGTTTCATCAGCTCATCCTGTGTTGTTTTTTTTTTTTCCTTCTTCTTCTCTTTCTTTGAAAGAAAGACGGTTCAGGGTCAGAGGGCGAGTCAAGCCGATAAGTCCGACGTTCTGTTGGGTTTCCCGACTGCAGGTGGTGTGGAAACGATCCCCTTGCGTGGGGCGGGGAGCCGCGCCGCTCCAAGCCGCGCCGCTCCAAGCCGCGCCGCTCCAAGCCGCGCCGCTGATCGCTTCTTTTTTTTTTTTTTTTTTTATCTTCCAGGTTTGCTTCGGCGGGGGACGACGGCCTGGTGCTGGTGTGGAACGTCGAGGTAACGATGCGATATCGTCGACAGTAAACCACAGAGTCCTGCCGAACTATCGGCGCCTCTTGATCCTTCAGCGCTTGGTTTGTGTACCAGTGTGAGGAGTTTAGAACTGGTGTGATGCGCTCTACCTCCCTGGTTTTAGTCAGAAAGTGAGCAGCAGCATTTTGGATCAGCTGCATGTGTCTTGATTTTTTTATTTATTTTCAAGGCAGATTGGGAAGACAGAATAAAAAAAAAAAAAAAAAAAAAAAACGCATGGATGAGTTTCTCTAGATCTTGCCGGGAAATTATTTTGTTACTCCTGGAAATGTACTTCAGGTGACAGAAGGCCGAGTTCTGGTCGGAGTCCATCACAGCCTGATCGCTGATTTCTTTCTAGCTATGATGACTGAAGCCGTGTGATACAGTTGATTGACATTTTCACACTACATAACATTCCTGAGGTCTTCCGTCAGGATTTCAGTGCCGTCACGGTACGCAACCTGCACTGCTTATGGGTTTTTAACGACATCCTTTTGGCTTCAGGCTCTGGACATTTTGCGTGATTTGGAATAAATAGATTGAATATCTGTGTAGTATGACGTTTTAATTTTGAGGGAGTGCCCGTTCTTACCAGACAGAACATTCTGAATATTCTATGTGCACAAAACTTTAATATTTAGTAATTTTTTCTCCATCTAATGAGCAGTAAGGTTTGCAGTTGTACCATAACCAAATGTGGAAATGGTAAGAATACTTCTCTAAGTGTGTCATCGTTTTTTTTTGTTTGTTTTTTTTTGTCTGATTTAGACAGGAGAGCGGCTGCAGGAGCTGAGAGGACACTCCCAGCAGATCACAGCCATCAGCGCCTTCCCCTGCGGCGACGGCTTCACGTCGCTCATCACCGCCTCCTCGGACCGCAGCCTCAGTGTATCCTCCAGGCCCGCGCGGTTGCACAAAGCCGCCTTCGTGTCGCCGCTGTTCGTACTCCTTGACTCCGCTGTCAGCTGTGGGATCCTGACACAGGAAACAGAGTGCAGACCATTTCAGACCTGCAGTCTTCTGTGAAGGTACCTGGAAGAGATTCGACTCAAGTTCTTGGCGGATTCGGCGCCATGAAGTCAAAAATCACAACGCGGAGAGCAAAATATCAACTAGATGAGTTAAAAACGAAAATGCAGGGAAACATAATTTCAAACAAAACAAATGTCCAATCTCATGGATCGCAAGCTTTTATAAGCTGCTCATTTTTGATAACCTCTCAGGCTATCAGGAGGTTAGTCTCTTGATAGCCTATTTCTTTATGCCCACTCCACCCAGAGGGCATAAAGAAATACCTTTCCGTCACACAGCATCTGCGATTAACAGAAAAGCCGCTTTTGTGTTTCAAGAAGAGTTGAGAACCAAACCGAACTTGAAAACAAACGGACCCTTGAACGCCTCGTCGATAATAATGGCGGAATCTGAAATCGACTCTCTAATGAAGTTTTCCCCGGCTGTTATTTAAGGTTAAAACCTGTAATTGCATTTTCTTCTTCTTGATTGCAGATGAAGGTTAATTGCACCATGCAGTAGGTTAATTATATTTCTCATCCCTGCAGGTTTTCTCTGTGCATCTTTGAGATGCGTTTGCTGCTCTGATCTCTCTCTCCCTCTGTGTGTGTGTGTGTGTGTGTGTGTGTGTGTGTGTGTCAGTGTTTACTCGTGCTGGGGCGGCTCTCTGCGTGGCTCTCCGGCGGGGAAGAGTTGTGCGTTTGGGACAAACACTTCCAGCTGCTGTGCCACCGACAAAAGCACAGCGACACCGGTGAGGGCAAACGAAAGACAATGAAACGTCGCCCGTTTGGTTGCCTGTGATGTCGCTGGCCGGTGAACGTGTCGGTCTCGTTGCAGGAATTGCTGCTCTGGTAGAACTGCCGAAGAACTGCGTGGCGGCCGCTGTGGATAAAGAGATAGGTGACTGGAGGGTTAAATGTTGTGACGATGCGTCAAAAGTTGCTGTGAACGACCGAGTCTCTCTTCCACGCAGTGATCTACAGAGTGACCATGACGTCGGACTCGTCCGTGCTGCTGGATGAGATCTCGCGTTGCTCTGACCACCACGACCAGATCCGAGCTCTCATCAACGTCAACGGTCAGCCTGGTCGACAAAAAAAAACAAAACAAACTGCGAAGGCCCGTTGAAGACGTACGGAAGCCGAGAGCGGTCGTAATTCGGTTTTCTCAAGTTATGACGTTAATTGTCTGTTTTTTGAAGATAACGAGTTAACTTCTCGCTAATAATGAGTTAGCCTCCGGTTTTCAAACGTTCCTTTCTCGTTTTCTCGAGATAACAAGTTAGCTTATCCCGAGAAGCTAACTCGAGATTAGCTTTTCTGACTGTTTTCTCAAGATAAATCGCTTTCCTGTCAAATGCAGGAAATCGATTCTGCATTTGACAGAATCGATTTCTGTCAAATCGATTCTGTCAAATCAAATGTAGGTTTGCATTGGATCAAACCTAAGATCTAATGCAGATCTTAGGTTTGAGTTGGGGAATTGACTCGCGATAACTAGTCAATTCCCCGTTTTCTTGACAAAAAGAGTTAACTTTCCGTTCTCTCGAGACAGTGAATTAATTCAATTCCTGACATGTTTCTTGAGAAGACGTAACCCGCTCCCGGCTTCCGTAGAGCTGAAAACATTTCGGCCTATTTTCACTTGTTGAATTTCCGGCTTCTCGTCCCCCAGACGGCATTTTTGCCAGCGGTTCCCACGCGGGCGAGTTGATCCTGTGGGACTCGGCTAACTTTAGGAACGTGGCCTACGAGCACATCCTGTGGGAGGAGCCTCACCCCGGCAGCCAGACGGAAATCAGACTGGCCGCCCCGAAGCCCAGCGAGATGTCCGTCCAGCACCTGACCTCCGACGGGAGGGTGAGAGCGGCCGTCACGGCGGGGCGCCATATTTCATATTTCATGGAGGCGACGGGTTTCCTTTCCAACGTGCTTTTATTTCGCAGCTGATCCTGGCGGCGGTGGGCAGCGGGCTGTATGTGTACGACGTCGTGGCCAAAGCCGTGGTGGCCTACAGGAAGGCCGCACACGACTCCAACGTGCTGCACGCCACGCTGCTGTCTGACGGGTAACGTCCACAGTCATTAGTTTATTCATTTATTGACTATCATTGGCACTCGGTCAGTTTCTAATATGCTTCAAAACTAATTTGAAGTATCATTTCAGCAATATATATATATATATATATATATATATATATATATATGTACATTTCTAGAGTTAAAATACACAGTTGTAACTCTAACTGGAATTCAATTGTTTTTAATATTCGTCTTGACCTTTCGTGTATTTTTAACAAACGCTTCTCTCTTAATTCATCGTTTACTTTAATTTTGAACCACGTCTGTTTACACCTGGAAAAGTTCTTTGTACATAATGTTCATTATGTACAATGATGTACATAATGTAGTAGACTACATCATTAAATGTTTAAAGTATTTTGTAAGCATTTAAATGAACATAGTGTAACGCACTGTTTGGCCACACGGGGGTGCTGCTGCTCTAAAGCTGCTTCATAGATTCTTAGCATCTGTGATCTGTGTTCAGGTTATTGAACTGGATTTCTTCAATCAGTGATTTGTACAGTGACAGGCACTTTATTCTGTACATAAAATACAAAAAAAATCAAAACAAACAGAAATATATGTACAGAAGATCAGAATATTCTTGTGGGATTTTCCTTATATGTCCTTTTGAGGACATATGAGGATGTCCTTTTACTAAAACAACATTTTGCAGAGGTTCTACAAAGGATCCAAAGGGTCTCGGTTTACAATCAACCAGGAGAAAGAGGGGAAAAAAAAAAATAGACAGTCATCGATGATAGGGTGGGGGATATGAGAACAACCTGAACTGCTCTCGATTGCTGCCTGTGTTTGATGGTGTGTGACACTTCCTGTTTCAGTGAGCTGATGTCGTGCTCTGAAGACGGCAGCGTGAGGATGTGGGAGATCCAAGATTTACCTTTGGCTGCTGAACCTGCATCCGCAGGTTAACACGCCTATCAAACTATACTGAACACTTCATTTTAGCGCTGGTTTAAGCATTACACAGTCCTTAAAGTTTTAGGGGGGACTAAAACACTTTCATTGCTTAAAAATGTAAAATTATGTGTAATTTTTCTGCATCTTCCATGGAGATGCTAAACTGTTCCAAATGCCCAAAATGTTGAAATGTTTGCAGTATTGCTGCAAATGATCCTTTTTGCAAACAAATGATCCTTTTTGCAAACAAATGATCCTTTTTGTTTTTTAACAGGGTTCTTTGGTATGTGGACTTTTGGACGGTCGAGCAAACAGCCCGGTCCTCAGTCAAAGAAGGTCCTGGAAATCCCCAACCTGAGGACGCTGGAGCTGACCGGAGACCTGATCGGACACTCGGGAGCGGTCCAGGTACGAACCCGTGACATTTCAGACACGACTGACGTTCTGTAGCACGATCCAGACGGCGGCGGAGTTCTTCAGCCGCTGACGCCAGACTTCTTCTTCCAGATGTTTCTGAGCTTCAGGGAGAAGGGCCTGGTGACGTGTTCGACGGACCACCTGCTGATTCTGTGGAAGGACGGGGAGCGGCAGTCCCGGCTGCGCAGCCAGGCGCTGTTCCAGAAGCTAGAGGAGAACGGAGGACTCTGAAACCAAAGCCTTTAGTCAGAAGAGAAGGATGACTATCGTTGCCTCGCACATCATGACTGACGATTGCTATTTACATTCATTGGTTGACCAGTTATTTTTTATTTCTTAATTGAGGAAAGTTTATTAATTAAAGTGAACAAAAATGGAGTTAAAATAAAACCTACTGCTTTTCTTTCTGTCATTGTTTGAGATCCATAGAGCTGAATCCTGTTTGAGGTGAGAAAAAAAAAATCCCTGCTATAATTCTGCAAGAGAAAGCTAATGCAGATTTTAACGTCTTTATTTTTCAGGGTGTCCACGCATCCTAAAAACGTTTTAAATCCACATATCTAAATTTAAGGCATTAAAATGTCTTTAATTCATTAAAATGTAAGTTGGTCTTAAAGATAAGAGTCACAGATCTTAAATTTTGTTGCAGCAGGACTATTTAATGTTGTGTAGTTTTCTATCAGCCAAAAGTCTGAGTCAGGCACAGACATTTTATTCCAGGCAAAAAAACGTCGAAGCTAAAACTTTTGTACGGAGTTGAGGTTAAGACAGTGCAGTGAGAAGCCACTGTCGAAACAGAGCCCAGCAATACCAGTTTATGCTGAAGTTGATTATGATCTTCCATCCTCCATTCAAGGCGACATTTAAAAAATTCAAGGCGACATTTAAAAAAAGTCTTCAGTTCAGCTGCAGATAGCCTGTTCTTAAGCCCCGTGTTAAGAACAGGCTTAAGTGAATCTTCATTTAAAACATTTATTGTTAAATTAATCTTTTTCTCTTTACAGCTTACACTGGTGAGTTATGGAGGCAGCTGCCAGAATCCTCCAAAGTTGTTCTGTTTTTATAAATTGCACCAGTCAGTGCCAAACACAGCTCACATATTAAATGTCACACATTGTAAACGTGATATTGCATGTTTATTTATTCGTGAAATAAATCATATTTCTCAAACTGATGGGTTTTTTTTTTTTAGTTATATAAAAACAAAGTTCATAGTTTATTTTCTGTTTACGTCTGATGATGTTCAATAGATATATTTCCCATTTTTACCTGGATCTGCTCCGGTGCCGTTTCTTTTCCTCCAAACCAGTGGTGTCAAAACTATGGCTGGAGGACCATTTGCAGCTCTTGGAATTATTTTGTGCAGACCTCAGGTGAAGATCTTCATATCATCTGTGAAACATGGATGAAAGTGCTGTGGTTTGGCGGTGCCTCCTGGCTAGCTCGCCATAATGAACCCCACTCTGAACTACCATGAGTCAGATTGTGAAAAATGTGAAATCATCTGTATATCTGCAACAAAATGACACCTGAAGCAGGACTGGACATCAGTGTATCCACCAGAACGTTCACATCTTTTTCTTAAAAAAATTAAGCAATTTTGAACATGGAGGTTAACTGGTAAATAAAACTTTATAGAGTAGGTTCAATGCCTGTGTTAGTGCCAGAGATGTAGCCACTTCATAGTTAAATAATGCTTTATTCATCTCTCACAATACTTTTTTTGTTTGACAGAAAACATCAAAAATAAAAACGTAGCGAGAAAAATACACGAAGCTTTCAAAGCAAGACATGGCAGAGTTTAGGAAGCTGGAGCATAAAACTTGCGTCTATTATCCAAGAGACAGTAAAATCTTTAAAAACACATAGTACAGTTGTCATGGGCAATAATAATAATCTTTTCAAAAATAGATTTTTCTCAACTCTGCATATATGTATACCACTCTCTGATGACGGTTTTCATCTACAAATGGTGCAAAGCTCAGGGTTGACAAGGCCGTCACTGACGGAGAAGCTGTCTGTGGTTCTGCCGGGCTAAAGGACAGAATGCATGTCGCATTCAAGCAGCGGCTGCTCAATGGAAAAGGCATGGCTGTCTGACGTCTAAAATCTCTCTCTCTAAAATGTCTAGTTAAAGGATAGCAAAAATATCCCCTCATGACCATAAATCGATCCGAGCTGGAACCATGCTTCTGTATTTTTGGACATGATGGACCGAAATGTGAATAAACGGGGGAGCACCGACCGCAGCTTTCTGGCCGATCAACGATCTTTCATAGCCTGACCTGTCAATTCCAATTTTCACCAATTAATTTTATCTTGCACCAAAAATCAATTTCGCATTTGAAGTGTCGTTGGCCAAGTGCAGATCACCCAAAACTGAGGAAATCGGTGCTTACCCCTTAGTAAATAAGAAACATTAAAAGCGAAGCAAGGCAAATAAAAACCGGCGTGTTAGCTGAGTATTTACATGAACAGCAGGCGCATCAGGTAGTTTTACAGTGTGGCACAAGCAAAGCACACCCAAAACAGCGACACGCGACAGGATTAAGGCCTTTTCGTAAGAAAGTGATCGTCCATAAAGTGACAACAAATACAGTGATATTGGACGAAGTTGTGTGTGTGTGTGTTTTTTAAGGTGTAGCAAAACAAACAAACAAAAAAAATGCAACCTTTTAGTTTAAAACCCAGGACTTCTGTGACGGGACGACCGAAGACCACGAAACAGACGCGTTTTCTTTTATCCTACAAATCACAGACGACACTTATGGCTTTTCTTGTGATTCACTTTGTATTGAAAGCAGGAGCCATTACTATGGATATGTTGTAATGTGTGAGGAGAACAGTGAGATATAAGGCACCTATGAGGGAATCTCTGTGCCTTTGGTTGATTCTGCATTGTGTAGCTGTGCGGCTCAGGAACACCATCACCGCCATTATCTCCTACTGCTGGCTGCTTTGGTGGTTGCCAATACCTTTTCAACTGAAGGTGACCAGAAAAAAAAGAAACATATGAGTAAATTTCCAATGATAGAAGGAGAGATTTCTTGCTCACATTTAACTGCTGGTTTGATGTGCAAATCTTTGCTATGTCCACCAGAGGGCATACGTAACATATCCGTAATTTGGTCAAGTTTTCTCTTTTGTTTTTGTCTTTTTATTTAAAAAAAAAAATCAACAGATTTTTATTGGTCATGTTTACAGCTTCAGCGATCTCACTGGATAACTCTTGGGTCAGACTGAGCCACATTTGTTGATAAAGATGTGTGACAAATAAGAAAACAAATGGCTGAACGTTCTCACTGTAACAACTGAATTTGTTTGGGGGGTGAGGGAGCGCTGGGAGGTCAATGTCTTCCCCAAACTACGAAAGTTAAAGTTTTGTCCTCATGAAACCTGCTCAGATGCTCACAGTTCATTTCTACAGTTTGTGTCGCAGAGCTAAAAGTTTGACATTTACCCCGGTGCGGTGCAATCTGTCCGTTAAAAGCATCTCCATCGTCCACGTCGGCTGCTTTCACATGCATTAAAGGTGGGAAAAAAAGCTAAAGCTGCAGATTCTGTCCGCAGCACACAGAACAGCCCTTGGTTTCCAGAATCTATTCCTACAACACTCTTCCTGCTCTGGGCTACTGGGGTTGCTTACAGTTTGGTCCCATATGCATGTTTTTTTGTGTGTGTGTTTTTTTTTAGATATTAAGGATGAATAATTCCAGCTGGGCACCTTCACAAGTCTGTATCGGAAGTTTTAGAGATGCGAACTTTCATCTTCGAAGAAGCACAACCACTAGAAATGCTCGCCTTTTAGCCGAGCGCCTCTTGGTCTCGTCACGCTTTTGCAACCAATACCCAGATATAAAATGACAAGGTTTAAGGAAAATAATAATAATAATCATAATCATAATAATAATAAAAGCAAAGAGCAAAACGGAGCTCGAAATCCAAATGTCTTGATTTGCTAAAGTGCAGATTTCCGGCGTGAGATTGTCGGGTGAGCCGCGAGGTCCACGCAGCTTCAAAGAGACGCCAGAACAAAATGGCGGATGACAGTCATTCGGGCTGTCAGATGAAAATTAGCTGTTTTTCTTTTTCCATGGCGGAGAAGCACCATGTTCAGTTGGAATGAGAAAAGCGTCCAGGATTGAAGACGAGATCAGCGCTCATCAGTCAGTGATCTCGTTCCTCTTAGGCAGGAAATTGGCCCTGTTTTCTCGCCGTATGCGCTACTTTAGTGCTGTGGCTGAAAGGACGAACTGCTGCAGTGTCCGGCCCGGGTCACGGTGCCAGAGAGCAGAGCAGGAGGTCAGGAGGGCGGCGGAGGACGCAGGCTCTTGCACTTCATGTCGTCCAGGTTCTTCCAGTACTTGTAGTTCTCGGACAAATGCTCCATCAGGTTGGGGAGGCTGGCAAAAGCTGCAGCACAGAAAGCAGGAGTTGATCAAATATTCACCAAAACGTCTTGACACAGGTGTACCATTTGGTGCATTAAAAAGGTAGTTTAAACTTACTAAACATCAGCTAAACCAGGCTGCTAAATATCTTTTAGTCAGCACATTCTGACCTTTCTCTCAAGCTACACCATGCAGATGCTCTGTCCGCACTGTTGAAGATTTTTTCTGTTCAACTGCTCAAAATATCTCCAATTGACAACCATATAATCTACTTTTTAAAGAATTTGGCTAATAACTCAACTTAACACCGACCACAGTCAGTCCACCTAACTCCAACTGCAGTCCGCTTGCCAAGAAGGTCCGGTTCGGTTGGGGATAATGAACAACCCAACTCATCTGATGTGGACAAAACCCTCGGTTTGGCTGAAGTGAAATCTGGTGCAGTGCCAGTGAACGCCAAGTGAACTGGAGACCACTTTTGAGGCAGGTAGCAGACCTCACTCCTGACCAAAAACAACCAATCAGAGCCAGGAGGAGGGTTTTAGTGCTGTTACTCACTCTCATGTCCTCATTGCTAAATGTGCTGATGGTAGAAAAGCAACTTACAGTTACAGAAGACAGTTTATCTGCTGTCCTTGGTGGCTAAGCTAACTAGCCCTAGCATTCACAACAGGCTACACAGATTGAGAAAAGCAGCAGCAGAGAGCAAAGGAAGATGGGGGTAAAAAGAGCCACATGAGATTGTGATTGACGGAGCTAAGACCCGGCTCTTGCCTCTGATTGGTTGTTTTTAGTTAGCGCTGGGAGAAGGCAGAGGAGCTGGATTGTTTTATCACGATTTGTCTGTCTCACACCATCTGCCACGCCATTGTTTCAACAAACAAGAAAAAAACAAAAACAACATTGTTTATGAAATCTACATATTGCAGTTTTGAGGGATGAGTCAGAATTTCTAGGTTTCTGGTGTCACCAGTGGGTATGTGGTTAACTAAAATGTGACCCAGGGCTGTGACCTTGCTCTCGTTTCACACAGATTTGATGTACTGTACATGCAACAGAAAGTTTCTCCGAAAGGATCAGGTGATAACCACAAATGCCCTTGCTGGTCTGAAAGGTCAAGCTCAAGGTCGACGCGATGTGCGTCCCACAGTCAGGGGCTGACGGGTTCAGAAGTGTCCGTGTCTCTCCTTCCTTTCGCTCCGCTGTGTGTATGTTCCCAGTCTTCTCTCGCTCGCTTGTTTACATCCTGGCTTCCGGCGCGCCGATGGCCCGCGCTGCATCTGTGACCCCCGACATGAACCGACAACGACCCCGGTGGGGCCGTGTGCGCCTTGTGTTTATGTATGGACCGGAGTCCCTTCACCCCAGATGGAACTTTCCCAACCAGCCCTCCTGTGACACTCTCCCAGTTTCTCCCACTAGCATTAGAAGTCTTTCCGTGACATCAGAGCCGCGTTGGCGGTAAACAGCTTTTCTCTCGGGGTTCGTAGGAACAGGAAACTTTAGTAGGAATGAGGAGCTAATATAAGGAATCTGTTTCCTTTCCAATTCTTTTTAGCGCTGGTGGGCTGGTTTCATTCATTCTGTCTGAACTGCTCAGACGAGTTCTGTTGCCTTTAAACTTCAAATGACTTCAAATTTCTTGATGTGCCACCATAAAGCCATCCAAATTTAAATAGCACGAAATTATTCATCCCTCTGTCGGATTTACGGTTAGCATTGTTTTCACAAAGTTTGATTGGTTGTCTCGGTTACGTCACTGTTGGAAAAGCGGTTTCAATCTAGTTTAGTTTTCCCCTGCTTAACATAAATAATATGTTAAACTAAATTATAATAGTAGTATCAATTTAGGAAAAAAATAAAAATCTTGTACACTTTTAAAAAAAATAACATGTTGGAAATTATTTCTACCTTTCTCAATAATCACTGGAAAGTCTTTTCTGTTAATTTACCCTTGCAGAGTCAAAATGGCGTCGCCGTAAAGGAACGTTAAAGAGTGGCTGCTGTAGAAGCCCCATCATTTTCGCTTGTTTTTCTGCATTTTAAACATTTCCACGTTTTAGTAATAGGGAGAGTTTTGGTGAGAACTCGCCTCATTTGGCTGAAATGGACTGACAGCCCATAGCAACAGGCGGGGGAGGGAAAGTGTTTGTCCACTAAGAAAATAAAAATCTAATTGTTTAAAACCTTGTTCTACTTTGACACCTTAAACCGGTCAATGAGCGGAATCAGTTCTTGTTTCAGAGTGAATCTGCTAAACATTTGCTGGAAGCAGCGTGGCCCATTAGAGGAGCATCAAGAAGCAAACGAGAACAAAGTGTTTTGAAGCGGATGAGAGGGGAAGTGATGGTCTTCGGGGAAACAGCCGGAACATGTGAGGAAAAGACACGAAGCTGATTTTCTCCAGGACGGGAAGAGCTTTACTTCTTGGAAAGCTGTTGCTGACTTTCAGTTTATTTATGAAAACAGAGGCCTAATAAACTCCCTATATGTGTAAAAAAAAAAAATAATAAAAAATGTAAAATACGCACATCGGTGTGGGAAATGTTGCTCTTACCGTCCCAAGCGTCAAACATATCTGTGATGAAATAGTCTATGAAGGAGATCTGGGATTTGGGCACGCTGCAGGTGTTTCTGTCGAACACGGGCATCACAACGGGCAGCCCTTGTCGCTTCTCCTCGTCCGTCTGCGAGCAAAGACAAAAACCGATTCAGTCGCTTCAAAGTAAAACAACCAAAGTGGAGACAAGGAAAAAATGCCCGTCTCGCCCCCCCCGTCCCACCTGGGCGAAGTATTCCTCTGAGATCCGGCCCGCCCACTCGATGCAGAGCTCCAGGGGCCTGCAGGGGTTCGCCACATCTGCACACTTGATCAGCATCCGCTTGATCAGCAGGCGGTTCTCTGGAGAGTTTCTGATGTTGCTCTGGCCCTCGCAGTCGCTGTTCGTGCTCTGTCGGAAGCATCGCACAGACATGAGCGACGGCGTCAATGCTGACGCAGGCCACGGCTAATCCAGGGAGCACAAAGACGTGGTAGCTGCACTTCCGTTGGCCACGTGATTGGAGTTACGAGAATAAATTCGCTTCGTGGAAAAAAGGCCAATTTCGAAAAAACCCAAGTTTCACAATAAAAAGTTATTATTGCGCTGAGATGACTCGGTTTTTCGGCCAATTTGAAATGAATTTATTTTGTAAACTTGCAATGGAAACAGTTTTTGCATCACATGGACCATTTTAGATCTTAAAAGCAAGAGAACTCCGCTTTGAAATAAATACCAGTATTATGGTCTGCAGCAGCTTGTTGTTCACCTTGTCATGAACTATAGCTGTTTCCCAGCCTGGTCTGGACTACTGCTCCGACTTCTGAGACATTACAGTTGAAAAAAAAATCATTAAATTGTTCAGTAAACATTTGTGTGAGGCACCATGGAAACATGTCTCCCAGGATCAACGTGACAAATCTTCCAAATTGGTTTTCAAGCTGCGGCCTTTCATGAGAACTTGACTCAGGAAATAAAACGCGTGCGCTACCAGCAGCAACGCCACAACTTCTTTCACATCCTGCCGTTTGCGACACATTCGCCCGTGAACCAAACACTCTCAATTTTCGTGTGATGCAGACTCAAACCGGGTCAAGGCGCTGACACGGCAGAGATTAGTTTGTGATTCATTCTCAGGTTGTTTTTTTTTTCCTCTTCCGACTCACGTAGAAGGGATCTTTACTGGTTTCGTGTGTTGCTTTTCACACAATTTACACCGATCTGCCCTTCATTCGTGATGGATTTGATCGGAAAATCAAACTCGCTATCGCAACGCTTTTCTGATCATTAGGAGAGCAAGAATACAGAATGAATCCTGAAAGTGCAGATTAATGATGATGAAAAATGTTTTCACACTATAGTATTGTGATTAAGTTTGACAACAAACCTGGCCAGATACATATTAAATTAAGACCAAACTGGCTTAAGGAGATGCTGTTTCACAGGCCAATCTGAGGAGCAGCAGAATCGATCACTGTCGCTGCAGAAATCAGCAGAAACCGTGCAAGAGTTTATTATTGATTTCAATCTGAATACAATTGATTTATAAATTACTTTTAATGAGATCAGCTTTTATTCAAACTGGGCTCAAGCTCAAGCAGTCCAATAACATAGCAATTGTCCCAGACGGCATATTTGATTTTCTTGTTCCTGGTTGCCACCCCCTTTTGTGATGCAACCCTGGGCAACCACCACGATAACCACCACCGTTTATCATATCTTGTTTACATTACAAAGCCACCATTTCTGTCCCGGAAGGCCAAAGCGACGGCTGCTGGAGCTTACGTTGGTGCTGGTTTCTTCGATGGCAGCCATTGGCTTGTTGATGCTGTTGACGAACTTGCTGACATGCTCAAAGTGGCGGGTCATCTCGGTGGCGAGCACCATGTCGATGATGGCCTGGCGCAGCGTCCGGAACTGATTCCTGATGGCAGCGAGAGCGAGTGGAGACAACATGAGAGGAGAGACAGTGGACAGCAGAACGCCAAAGGGACAACGGGTCGCTAAATCCCTTAGAGGGAGATGTAAGTGTACCACAGTAGAAGAGCTGTGGTAGGTGATGCTTATGCTTTAAATAACATATTAAAGAAAAGACATCCAAACTTTAAAGGCCACAATTTCCTTTTTACATTTTTTTAAATTAAAACCCCATACCCTCCTCTCACCGACCTGTCGATGTTCTTAAAGATGTTGCTCTTGCCGTCGCGCATGGTGAGCTGGAAGGCGAGTGCGGCGTGGTGGCTCTCCAGCACGGCCGTGTCGTTGTAGAGGACGGCCAGCTCGCTGCCCGCGTTGCACAGGAAGGAGTTGGTCCGGCCCGGGTGGTCCACGTCGTGGACTGTGGCGGCTATCAGCGCCGCCACCTCGTCCAGCTGGTCCAGGCTGCCCTGAAGAGGCAACAGAAGCCGAACGGAGACGTCAGCACAACTGTACGAAACTTTATAGCATGGAAATCAAGTTCTGAGGTAACCCACTACCTCTTAGCGTTAACAGCCGCTGCAAGTTTGGTGGTTTTTGGTGTTTAAAAAGTCGATTAGTTATAGAGCTAATGTCAGCAAAATGCATCTTTGCCGTCTTTCTTGTAAATACGAAAGAAAAGAAGCATGCAGTAATCATGCTATTTCTAATTTCTGACGTGTCACGGATATTTATTTTTTTTATCTGGAACGCAGTTCTGTCTGACAAAACTTGGTACAAAAATATCTTTTAATATGCTCCGAAGGCTAAAAATACAGTGTTATTTTCCATTCTGTTTATCAGCATGCAGAAACGTATTCAAAACCCCTTCAACATTTTCACATTTTGTCACATTACCAGTACAAGCTTCCGTTCTCAGAGTATGTGAATTTATATCATGGAACAACAAAATCGTGCACAACAATTGTGAAACGGCAACAGAACTCTGCCAAGAGCTGGAAGTTTACCCAGGGAAGAAATCCCAGTTCTCAGAAAATGCTCCCGCCACAACAACACAAAAGGCCAGACACGACGCTGATCTCTGTATTTTCCAAGAAGCTCAGATTTTTCTAAGAGCTTTTTTTTTTGTTTGTTTGTTTCCTGAGAGAATTAACTCATGAGTCCGGCCTGAGGCCAGATGACGATGGTGAATTATGCTGAGCAAGCAGGAGAGCACGAGAACAAAAACCTGGCAAGCGAAACGAGTCTTGAGACCGAATTTGGGCCCACAGAATTTTTATGGGGAAAAATGACCATCAGGGTGGAATTTGAGGCAACAGAAGTGTTTGTCTATAATGGGGCAAAATTATGTAAAGTCAACTTTTTTTTTTTCTTAGCTTAACAACATGTCATAATGTTATTCATGTTTGCGAAATCCTTTAATCGCCACAGCAACCATTCAGCTGTGTAAAACGTCTGGGAGGACTTAGCTCCGCCTTTTGAGAGCTGCGGTTTCCAAGCTTCCGCCTCACAAAGCAGTTCTTTGCTTTAACGCCTCCGTGACGCTCCTTCAGACTAGCCAGCGCAATCAGCAAACACCTGGTGGAACTTCTGAGCTTATTATAGGAGCAACGTCTCAGTGCAATGCTGGTAAAAATGTTGTTAAAGGGTTATTAGAGGAACCAAGTTGCAATGACTTCTTTTAGGCGGAGCTTCAAAAAGAGCAAGAGTTTCTTAAAGAAACAGAGGCCCAATTTCAAGGCATTAAATCACTCAGTCAAATTTCTTTTAAGTATTATAGCAACTGAAGAAGTTTGATTGTGCTATAAAATGGCAATTTGTGCCTGGAAAACACATAATTCTGCCCCTTCCAAAAAAAACCCCAACAAACTCCCCATCCTTCGGCCCGTTACCTTGACTCTCTCCTTGCGCAGGAAGTAGGCCGTGGCGTGGAGGACGTCTGCAGCATGCGTGGAGTTGTGGTAGGAGTTGGAGGAGTGATAATTGGCCTCCATGAGCTGCAGCCATGAGCGCAGCGTCGCCTCGGAGCAGTTCAGGAAGTCACACACTCCGAAACTGGTGAAAATCTTCAAGCCGAGGTAAGTGAGGGGTCTGCAGCGGAGCAAACAACAAGGCAGGCACAAGATGAGAGAAGTGTTTTAGGTTTCTGTGTTCCGGTTTTTGTTACTCTTATTTTAAAAGTTCTAGTTCCACTGGAGGATTTGTTCACTTAAGACATTTTTCCCATTCTATAAGTGAAATAATATGCCAATTAAACCAGTACTCTTTCATCAATGTCAAAGAACTATTGACTTAAAACAAGCTGATATTTCTTGGTTTATTTATTTAAACACAGACATAATGGTGAAAATCGGTACCTTTTATGCGTGGCTGCCTCCAGGTCCAGGATGTTGAACTCCCAGCGCTCCTCGTCGTTCAGCATCTCGGCGATGGACGGAGGAACGTCGTTCAGCGTCACCGGGATGGCCAGCTGGCTCTGGCTCATATCTAGCACACGGACACAACACCTCCAGGATTACACACTGTTAGACTGCAAAAGAGGGAAACCGGCCCCTGGATGGTTGACTGATCTTAACAATGAACGACTTCTCCAGGTTGCCGATACAGGAGGGAAGTTTGGCCAAAAATAATAAAAAAATTTACATTTTTTTTTTAATTGCAAAAATGATGGCCTTAACAGTTTTTCACACTAGTATTGCTTTTTTTTTTAAGATTAAAGTTACTGTTTTTCATTTACATTGAAAGCTACCCACTTTTTTTTAGGGCTTTTTTCTGTTAAATTTGAATGTTTCTTTAAAGAAAATAAATTGGTTTCATTTTATTTGAAAATTGTCACCGTTATCTTCATCTTTAAAGCCAAACAACTGAAACAAAAAGGAAGGAAACATACAATGTTCATCACAGTGGACTGTAAAATACTTCCATTGTATATTTTCTCTTCATTTTTCTTTTTTTTTTGAGTAACAAAAAATGTTGGGCCACATTTCTTAACATGTTACAATTTTAGCCCCATTTTTTATTTAATTTAAAAACCAAACAATATAGCATGAAATGACCAACTGAATTTGATTGCATTAAATTGGATTAATTTCTGTTTGGACTTGAATTAGTTCACTCATTTATTTAGTTTGTTTTTTAACAACTGACTACTATAAAAATAAAATAAAATAAAATGTTCCTTCTGTTTTCTTTTGGTGTTTAGTGACGTTTTGAAACTTACTTTTACTGAAAATATATTCGTCCCCAGAGAGTCTCCGCAGCCCGTCCTAAAGAGGATGAAGAAAAAAAAACAAAATCTTTGATATAAACCAGAAAACGGTTTGTTTACGTTCAGCAATAGTTCAGCGATAAGACACACTGCCAGCAACCTGAATTTGCAATCTGATACAAATACCAATAAATATATAAATGATTTTGCTCATAAATGCAAATAATGCCTGCTAAACCATACACCATGTCATATTTGTTAAAAGTGTTGTTTTTAATGAGCTTTTTAAATAAAGCTGAAGTACCTAAAAACTTTTTTCTTGTTAAAATGACTTTCTCTTAATTTTAAGACCTTCTTATGATAAAATTGCATTTTTATTCTGTTAAATTATAACTATATCCTTGTACCTAAGCATAAATTTTTGTAGCCCATCCCTAATAATAATAATAATCATCATCATCATCAGTTGTAAAACTTACAGAAGGAATGAGTGAACTAAATGACAACAAAATATTTTCAAAAAGTGGTTTTTCTGTCAAAAGGAACCAAAAAAAAAAAAAAAAATTGGATCTTGTTTGAAAAAAGTCAGAGATTTTAGTTGGAGGAGAGTTTAATGCGTCTGACTGTCTTCTTACAGTCATAAGCCCCCCGACCAGGTCGTTGGTGTGGGGGTCGTCGTCTTTGGAAGCCAGCTGGGGGGAGTAGAGCTCGGTGGTCCTCAGGATCTGCAGCACGCGGTCCAGAGCCTCGGCGACTGTCACCGGGCTGCTCTCCTGGGCCGCGTTGATGATGTTTATCACCTGCACACCAACACACCACAGGCATTACATGCGACAACAGAGCGACTTTTTTGTGCGCGTGTCACGGGGGTCTGATGTGACGCGCTGCGATGTCTCTACTGGAGAAAAGAAAAACAAAACAAAAAGAAAAAAAAAAAAGACAAAACCAGCCAAATAAAGTTATTTTTGAGTCCAGAAGAGGATCGTAGACACTGCAGCAGCGGACCAGATGAGACGATGTGAAACACAGATATTGTGTTGTCAGATGCGGCACAATGTGATCCGGCCAGCAGTTTTATTTGAACTGAACTTGTGTGAGGTTTCTGTCACGATAAATTTTGTTGCGTGATAAATCGTGCTGGTAATTATCGCGATAAATGATAATATTGTTGTTTTGAAACCATTTTCAAGTAATCTATTGATGGTAGCAGTAATATGTGTGATTTTAATTGCATTTCTTATTTGATGAAAACATTGCAATTAAAAAAATTGCATTGTTTTTGACATTTTGTAACACATTTGTTATTTAAACCCAGATTGTACCTTGGTGATGGGAGCCTCAATTGTCATCGAATGGATTCTTGCAACAGAAGAATACCTCCGGTTCTGTAAACTAGGAGCTGCAACGAGGAAGCAGTAACTGTCAGCACAGTGAAAATTCAAGTCTATGAATGTTTTTGTTTTCATGTATTGAAAGATTAAAACCAAAGATTAGAGGATTCAGAAACTGTAAACATTTAGATATGCACAGACACACGCAATATGCTGTATCTTTTTAAAAAAACGGTGCCGCATAATCAGTCATTTTAGGCCGCAGCCTTCATGACATTTAACTGTTGGACGTCTTAACACATTCGGCCTTATAGGGGAATAATTTAAGACTTAAATGAAATAAAATAGGTTGGCAGAGAAGAGCTGCATTCAGCAGAGATCTCTCAAAATAGCAGCAGCTGCGTCAAAGAGGGTTGAGGAGTGCAGGGGATGAGGGGGGATGCAGATGTGATCAGCCTGCAACATCTCCCTTTAGGATCTCTTCAGCTTCAAGTACCAACCATAACGCCGTCTCTGACCTTCCATCTCTAATCACCCCCCTCCGTTCTTTTCTTTACTCCTATTTCTATTTTATTCTGTTTGTGTTGAACTCGCTCTGTGCTTCGGTTGTTTTCTCCCTCACGCAGCAGAGCCCATGTCGTTCTGTTGGGTGAAACAAAAAGCTCTGAACAGACCTACCGTCGCTGCCACGGGAACCGACCGATCTGGCGTCGATTGAATCTTTCCGCCTGTCCCTGTGTCGCAGTGAATGGCACTCTGTACAGGAAGTGAAGACATGAAATGCAGAGAGACACGTATTGTGGCTGTTTCATTAATAGAAATGTTAGTTGAGACTGAAATAATTTTAATTGACAATGTAGTTTTCTTTTGGTTACTCTTTAGATCTGCTGTTTCAAATGTTATCTGTGACTTCAAATATAAGCAGAAATTGATTTTTATCCTCTATTTTTTGCAACTGTTTTACTTCCACTATTTAATTCAATTCTGCACCGGATTCACAAAGCAGATTGCACTAAGTACATGCAGCAGCAGTCCCACCCATCAAGTCCAGAAGAGAAATGTTTGTTTCCTTTTTTCTTACTTGAAACAGTCTTGATGAATATGAAGGAAGATTAAAGCTATTGTAGATGGAAAAAGGAAAAAGGAGTACCTTTCAGGCAAAAAATTAAAACATTTTTAGATTAATCTCAGGAATTTCCAAGAAAAAAATGAGAAAATGTCTGAGACATAAAAGTAAAAAATTTTCAAGGAAAGCTCAAATGTTTGACATTACGCTCAAAATTGTTTTACAAAAAACCTGGAAACTTTTGTTAAACACAAGTTGAACATTTTTGACTTCTGAACATTTTCTGAGAACCAAGAGTCAAAAGTTTTCCACTTTTCTAAAACTCCAAATTGTCAAAAATTAACTTTTTTTTTTTTTACATTGCAATTACGCTTCGCTAATGTGTTTTTAAATTTCTAGTTGCATTTAGCAATTTGTCGTCTGCACAGATCCGACTCTGTCTCTTGTTTAAGAGTAAGGAGCAGATTTAAACTCAGGTTCACTGAGCGAAAACAGATTTATTCATCTGCCCTTTAGTGTAGCGTAGAATACTTTACAACCTTACATTTCAGGTTGGTAAAAAGCTTCTGTCCATGTAAACAAGAATGAAAACACAGTAGTTAGTTACCTGACTGAGAATGGTCCCCGCTGCATCTGTCTTCCTTGTTCATTTTGAGGACCTGGCAGAAAGCAATAAACCAGAGTTCAACTCCTTCTCTACATCACTAGACAGATCAAGAGTGTTGTTTTAGCTCAAACTTGCTGTAGTTCCTCCAGTGGAACTAGAACTACTGCTAGTATCTAAGCCAGTCCTAACTGCAGTGATCACAATGTCATTGTGGACGTGTCCCATAATCCCAGCTGCTCTGCGATTCTCTTGTCGTTTCGCTGCCATTGAGAGAGATTAACTCAGATGACTCTTTCTATCTTCAAACTTGTAGCTCAAGCATGCGGCTGACAGTTTGTTCGGTACGCCGTGTTTGTCACGTCAAGGTTATGTAGCTATGGACGTGCAGGGCCTCTAATCTGGATATAGAAGATTTTCCTCACCCAGTGACTCACTGTACCTCTGCACAGCACGGACAAGCAAACAAGCACAGTTATGTAACGATCAACATGCATCTATGAACACAATGTGAAGGATTTTAATTGAGATTTTCAGGTGGAAAATTTAGAAAATATGTTGCTATTGCTAGAAAAAGAGAGATTATTTGAATCAAATTTGAAGTTAAATACATTTTGCGAGAAACAAACATTTCCAACTTGGGATCAGTTGCTACCATGCCTAAGAATTTTTATTCCCCAAAACGCTGGAATGGTTTAATAATTTGTCTTTGGCGAGCCGCTGACTCACCTTGTGCATGAAACAGAATGATGAGCTAAAGCTGCTCTCTGCATGAGGTATAAATAGCTTTGGCAAAAAGGTTTCTAGGTTTGGTGGGGCTTAGAGGGAGATACTGGTGCTTAGCTGTAGCTTAGCATGGTATGATGGTATTGGCCTGCAGCTCAGCTGAGGGCAGCAACACGACTGCTTCATGGTAGCCGCATGGTGCTCTCTGGTCCTGGAATATCCCCCCCAAAGATATTGTATTTAAACTTAAAAATTTAGGTTTAATTTCAAGCGCTAGCTTACAAATCCGTGAAATTTTTGCCTTGCAGTGAAAGAATATTGATCCCCTTTCTTCTGTTTTGATTTGTTGATCTACTTTCAGAGTTTTCACCTCTGTAAGCTGTCAGAAACATTAAGTCTACACTTTTGCCTCATCAATTTGCAGAATATCTTCTCAAAAAGACAGAGCTTTGACTTGTTTTTGGTCTGCAGCGTTTTTTCCTTGGAACTCTTTTCTCTGGTCTCGTTCTTATTGCTGAATCATGAACAGATAATCTGATGCAATTCAAATTTCCATGAGAAAAAACGGATGAGTTTTTGACGCACTCCTGGAAGTTCCCAGGACTTGAACCTTCCCAATCAAGTCCTGGGACATCATTGTAATTCTACTTATCTCCAAACCCAAACAGAAAAGGCTAAATAAAGTCTGTCGATACAACTTTCTGGTGTAAGAAAGTCTGAATACCCAAGATAGCAGCTCAAAACTCTAAACTCAATACCCGTATGAAGGATGCATAGAGAACACAGAGGAAAAAAGCGTCATCACCTGATTATTGTTGTCGGTATGAGCTCGCTTGATGGCTACGAAATGTCGGATTTTTCTGTTGGTAGAAGGAATCTGTCAGAGATTTTCAAATTTCTTGTAAAGCTACAGAAGTTATTCTTGGATTGAGTAGATTCAGCTCACCCTCCCTGGCCGATGACAGGCAGTATCTTCACTTGCTGCTGAATGCTGTCGCCCGACTTCTTCCTGGCAAAGTAAATGCCTTGCCATTCCTTCAGACACGACAGAGCAAAGAGGCTGATTAAAAACCCTGCTGGGTTTACGAGCTCAACAGAAGCGGATTGACAGATGGATCCGAAACTCACTTTGCCTTTTTTGATGCAGTTGTTGATTGTATCGAGTAGATCGGCTCTGTTCTTGTTGCTCTTGGGAAGTTCGGTCAGTTCTTTTCCGATCAACTCCCCCCTGTGGTATCCCATCATCCTCTCAAAGGCAGGGTTCACATACTGGGTCACAACCACAGAGAGATTAGAGTCACAGGACGGACAAACATTTTCCTGCTAACATCTCTTTGAGTATTGGACATTAACTTGCTGGTGAAGTTAAAAATCAAACTTAAGCAACACGCCAGTACCAATGACATTACTAAAAAGGTCTGAAATTTCTTGATATCTCTGTAAATAAATGGCTAATAAACAGTTATCAAAGACGTGACCACTTAAAGATACATTAATCGGCAGCAATATTAGTAATTCTATTAATAGTAGTAATTAGTTCATTAAAACTGAAATAGTTATTATTTTACAATTAGGGTTCCTCCATAAAATGACCCATACATTGATTAGGTATCAGAACCTAATATACTTAAAACATTAGTCACAATTCATAGAAAAATTTGAATGCTTTACCAAGAAACAGTTGTATTTTTATTTAATAATCACAATCAATGAATAGTTAATAAATCAATTCATAACAAGAATAAAGCCCTAATTAAATCAATAATAATAATTACTAGAAGCTAAAGTTATTATTTTATGAGCTCCCCATACATTACTAATAATTAGTTACTGAAACAGTTATTTTTAAAGCAGTAAACAGCTAATAAACCATTAACAGGTACCACTAATTTGGCTAAATAATAATGGATTGATCGACTATTTATAATTGATCTAAATGTGCTCATGGTTCTCAGTTAAGGGATGAAAGCATGAAAAGTCAGACACTTTCCTCAAGTGTCATGGTGCATTTTTTGCTATCTATCATGGATAGAAGAGCTAGGCAAGTAGTTGAATAGACAGAGAGAAAAAGAGAGCGATAAAAGAGATATAGAGATGGAGAAAGATATGAAGATAAATAGCTAAAGATAATGATAAATAGAGGAAGCTGGAGATAAGGACTGACAGACAGATGTAATGTAAATCCCACCTGAATGACGTGATCCTCACTGGTGATTTCCACGGCCTCTTGGCAAAACTCCAAAGCCGTAAAGACAGAGTTGCAAGCCCTATGAATGAGCAAACTTGCTGTAACTCAAAATGGCCAATGTAATTTAAACCTGCTTCAAACTCCATGTGTTCATACCTGAGTTTGAAGTGGCAGCGCACCTCTCCGTGTTCGATCTGGATGAGTTCGTTATAGCACGCTGACACGCTGCTGTTCTCCACGAACCTCTGGAGTCCGACCCGGGTCAAGTGGTGTTGGAAGGAGAGGCAGAGGGGTCAGAGGGGAATGGGATGAGTCAGGATCCGCTCGACTGCGACTCGTTTAGAAACCGCCCACGTCATTTTCACACCATTTAGCTTGACAGATACAAAACTTGCGCTCAGAGTGACAGTCATGCTTCTATTCTTGCAGGTTTCTATTAAAGTAAGCCCTATAGCAGCAGCTAAGAGACCAGGTAAAATGTTCGGACATACTCTGCTAAATCCAGCGCAGAGGAGAGGGAGAACGGATGGTTCCTCTTGGTCCGGGAGTCTGTGTTGGCAGAGAACCATCATTACAGTGTGTATTCACCAAAACATAACAGAACCAAACCTACAGTAGACACAAAGACCAAGAAAAGCTAACAGCTTACCTTGCAACGGAGTTTATACCTTTACACATTTTAATCTCTTGTATATTTAGGAGTTTTATGTAGTTCACAAAAAACAAACCAAACAACAAAATTCATACATGGTTTTCAATTATTCACAAATAAAAATCAGAAAAGTGAGAGGTACATGTTTCAGTGCTCTGTGAAACCACCTTTTGGAGTATATATACCATTTATGTCCAATTAGACTCTAATTCTTGCCTATTCTGGTTCAAAATAGCTCATGCCCAATCAGTTTGGATGGAGAACAGCTGTGGACATGATTTTTTTTTAAACTGAGTTTCAATTTTACTTAGTTCCAACTGATTAATGGCTGATGGACCACTCTGACACCTGAATATGATAACTTTATTCCTCTGTTTTGTAGCTTTCACTCTCAAAGCTTTTTCTCAAGCTCCAGAGATTTGTCCCATTGAGCTCAATTTCTCATGATGCATTTCATCCTGGCCAATGAGCAAAGAAAGAAGGAGGAGTTGTGAACGACTCATTTAGAGTTGTTGGCAATGGAAACAGAGGAAGTGAACAAAGCCAGTCAGTCCGTTTTGGCCACCCTTTCCAAATATTGAGCAATTAAAGTTGAAGCAAAATGAATATTTAAGGCATTTTATTGCTGGTTAGAATGTTGTGGTTCAACTCCTTGTGGAGTTTGGCAAAAGTTAAATTTTTTTAGTTGGCTCTGTTAATGGCAAACGCAATTTTTGGTAAAGGTTCTGGCACTTTACATACGTCATGGCCAAATGCTGGACGTTATAATCAGATCCAATCGTTTGAGACTTCAACAGATCCCAACCAATCGTTTCTCAATAGAAATGCAATTATAGCAATACTGTATGAAGTAAGATGTAGAAAAAGAGGTTTGGCTTTTATCAGGGTAGAGGAAAGAAGTTGAATATGAATGTCAAATCAGTCCAAAGACAACTAAAAACTTCAAATCCTTTTCCATCCACTTCACAAAAATGTAAATATTCCATAAAATTCCCAAAATGTACATTAAACCTTGTGGTAATATAAAAATATATTATACTTTTCAGAGACACCTATAACCTGCGTACAGGTACAAATAAACACGTGAAGCTTACTTTTGTGGTACGACAGCAAGAATAACTGTACTTTCCGAGGGCTTTGTGGCGCGGATCATCCTGAAAATGAAGCACAATAAAAACTCAGCAGGCGAATCAACAACACATCATTAAACTCTGACGCTGGACTTTGGAGAGGTGGCTTGGACCGGGGTGCGTGACGGACGTGTGGGCAGAATGGGGGTGATGTCACTGCCGGAGAAGAAGGACAGAACATTTCTGTGTTTAACACAGAAACACCAAATGCGGCTTGCGCTTCGGAGGTTTTGGCCACCGAGTCCACACGGCTGGCAGGAAGTGTGGGAAAGCGGTCTGGAGGTGGAGAAGCAACGAGTCGACAGTGATGGAGCACAGAAAGGAGCGACGGAGGGAACGGATAATAGCAGAAGGCCTCATGGGACATGGAGATAGAAGGGAAAACAAATCATATTAAATCATATTAAGAAAGGAGTGCTAGAGGCCAGGCACAGCAGCGGTGTGGTTATCACAGGACAGGGGAGACTAATGGATCAGTTTCTTGGGAAAATTTCCAAAGGAAGTACAATAAATCACTGGACGAAATACGTGGTGGTGAATTTCACTAAATTTTCCTAAATTGGCAAGGAAAACCTAGTTTTTGATGCCTCTGTTCATTAATCTGCGCTTCGAGTGTTGCACTAAATCCAGACAGGGATCTCACAGTAGAGTCGACATGTCCAAAATACTCCTGAAAAGCCCGGCAGGAAGGGGAAAACAGTGAAAAATAGGGGACTAAAAATACCCTCGGAATAAATCCTCTTGCCTGCCACAAAGCAAGAGGGGACAGAAACACACACCAGCATGAACTTAACAGCTGCTACAGCACCAGACGTGGAGCAGCCCTCTTGTCAGCAAATCAACTCATTGCTTAGTGATTCTTATTTTAACACATGTTTCCGTCAGCCTCTTTTGACTCATAACACCCTTATTTATCCTTTTTATAATGAAAAAAAAAACATGTTAAGCACTGGGCTCAGGGCTCTTTTACTCATTTTGTTGCTGGTGTCTCCAGTGAACACAAGATGGCGCCAACGAGCCCTCACAACAAAGCCGCTCAACAAGATTCAGGTAAAAAAAAAAGAAAAAAGAAATCGGCAGAAGTTACAACATATTGGACAAAACTCAATGAATAAGTTCCCCTTGGTGTCCTGTTTTCAGGTTTTGGAACTGAAACATGTCACATTTTCAAAGACAGAGAAGCACTTTTTCTACAAAACATCCCGTCTTCTCCCATTTATTTGAGTCCAGACTCACCGACAGACGGCTTCGGGCTCAAAGTAGCGCGAGTGACGTCCGTCAACGACGATTATCTCGTGGTGCTTGTCCAGGAAACACTCGACGGCAGACTCGGGCGTCCGTGCGATGTTACACCGGAAGCCGGCGCGGTCGCAGGCCCACCAGAAGGCATCGCTCTGGCTGTCCTCCTTCGCGAACACCAGCAGAACCTGACGAGGTCAACCCAAGACAACATTGCATGATTTACGCTCCTACCCACTGGTGGGTCTGTGCCTTACCAGAAGCACAAAACCTGGACTAAAAGTCCACGTCTCCAGCCGGGAGGGGCAAACTCTCTTCATTCTTCTGAGATGTGTGGTCCACGCCAGTTTGCAAACCCTGCATCTAGTTTTTTACAGCCATGAGTAGAGTCAACATCTGACCAAATCACGCTTTGTGGAGTCTGACTAATTCGCTCCAAACTAGTAAAAGGAAACACATCAACTCTCTCTCTTTTTTTTTTTTTTTTTTTTGCAGCATTTAAAAAATGTTCTCAAAATTTGCATGAGAATTAATTTCTACAGACGTTGGACTGTAACGTCAATCTCTTGCTCTCCTGTGATAAATCCAGCAGCCATGCAGATGGGGAGAGACTTTAAGTGCATAGATGAAGCACCTTCCTTATGAAGAAAATGAAGAAGAGGAACTACATTTCCACTTTCTCTCATACTGTATATGAGAAAAACTCCTTTGGCCAAAACTGAGCAGCCAGCAGTCCTCTAGCACTGCCTATTGGACTCAGATCTCACAGTCGCCTCTTTTTGATCTCAAACCGTGCTTAGACCACTGATAACACCAGCCACCTTTAGTGCATTGGTGCAAAAAAAAGCAACAGAGCACACAGGCACGCTCTCGTGCACCCAAAGGGCAGCTGGTCTGCAGCCAGAACCAACAGCGCTCGGCTCTGCCGCGCAGCAGCATCACCTCCTGACTCCCTCCGAGGACAACAAAGGACACGGGGACAGAGCGAGAGTACGGAGGGTCAGCACTCAGAGAGAGAGAGAGAGTAGACGATGAGGGAGAGCGTAAAAGAAACAGAGGACGACTGAAGTCGTGACTTTCCACGATTCTTGTGCCGTTAAAAAACCGTAAAACAGGAGCATTGTGTCGCAGAGTGCCTTTACAAGTGGAAACAGATAAAAAATAAAAAAAAACACTGAATCTGATGAAAAAAACAAGTGGGGATGGCACAAGAAGATAGAAACTGGAGCAGCGGTCGGAGGGAGAAGGTGGACTCTTACTTGTGAGTGCCTGTGAAAGGTCTAGTCTTTGATCCCGTGCAGGCTTGTGTAACCATGATGCTGGCATGTGAAATTCCACACACAGGGGACCCCACGGACACCGGAGCGCACACCTTCCACCCGGGAATGCTACCAGTCGAAGGCTGATAGGAGGCGCCATTGGTCTGATGCGCACCGACACATTCAGACAAACGGCTTCTCAGCACCATCAATGCTACAGCCACACCTTCATCTGCATGTAACTCTGTTTATCTTTATCCATCTTCATCTCTCTATATGTGTATCTCTACATATTGCTCTGTATCTATACCTCTCTATTTCTCTCTTTCTCAACATTTCTCAATGTTTATCTCTCTATCTATATTTAATATACATTATAAATGCCACACAGATCAAGCTACACCAGCCACCTGCTTGCACAGTTAACATTCGTGCTCAACCAGCGGCTAATCCTCGACGGTCGCTGTTGGCTGCCTCACATTTCCAGAGTTCACTGGGTCAACCGGCCGTGTTAAAAATAGATCTGAGTAAGAGAGTGTTTCTAATTATTTGTCACTCCGGCTCTTGTCCCGGGATAAAAACTCTGTCCACTTGAGTCATATCGGTCTCATAAACCTGATCAGAACATGAGTGGTGGTGTCTGGCTGGTGTTACTGTAAAAGCTTATGATACGGTTTGTTTTCCTGAAGAGAGCAGAGAGGCCTTGAAATCACAACACAAGCAGTTGTAGCACATTTGAATTTTACTTTCGTCTGTTGTGGTAGTTTAAAAGAGGAGCCATGAGCCAATAGAGACTTATTGCCAATTATAAAATGCTATTGTAATAAATGTTATCAAGCTGGCAGTCATTATTAGAATGAAAAGGGACCAAAAATGTCACTTTTCTATTTGATGGGCAGAACTGACCAAAGCTTGTCAATGACACAGCCACCAATTTTTTGTCTGCACGGTTTCACTTGAACTTTGATGAACACATTTCTAGAACCTTCACTTGTAGAAGGACCTCAACGTGTCTCGTGAAACTTCTCACCACCGTAATCTGTCTGCATTTTGTCACGTTGCAGCCGCGAGCTTCAGCGACATGACAGAAAATTGAGAAATGGTCTTCAGGGTAAAGATTTTCCTGACAAACGCAAGCCTGAATTGCTTGCACATCAAGACTTAACCCTAACTCTAAACCACAGCAACAGACTTTAGCTGAAAGGTGTCAGAGTAAAACGCCTCGTGTTGTTTAATGATAACAAAATCCCAGTGAAATGCATCAAAGATTGAGGTTGCAGCTGCACAAAATGTAACAGACTTACAGGGCCGTGAATATTGCATAAGGCACTGCATGTTCAGCAACAGCTAGCATGAGTTAATAAAAGTTTTAAGCGACAGAATGATTGAAACTCCACGTTTTACACTGCAAATGGGCGCTTGAGAAATATGATCGCATAAGAGTTGCTTTCCTTTAACCCGCCTGTATCTGAAGTCCATTATTAGATGAAGGAAGTATACAGAGATTTTGAAGCTGTCCAGGCCTGAGAGGCTGCAACAGTAAATGTCAAGGAAAAACTCTCGATATATTGCTCTCCCCTGCAGAGCTTCTTTTTTTTTTAAATCTTTCTTTTCATCTCTGTGTTCCTGTTGAGGGGAGCGGTGAGGACAAAGAGGGGTTAGGTCATGGACACAGAAGAGAGTTTGGAGGTACAGCCGCAAATATGGAAGAGTGCACATATTAGGGGAGCAGTTTAGGGTTTTATGGACCGTAAAAAAAGGGCTCTAAATTTTTTTTTTTTTACATAAAGCTCCCTCCACCTGCACAAATGGGCCTTGTCTGGTCTGTAAGATTGATGGACGAACACGAGTGGCGTGCCAGACCTGAACTCAGAAACCCCTGGGGACAGGTCAAACGCCTCGCGCGGCTCAAAAATCCAAGCAAATCAAATCAAGGCAATAAACGAGCGCCTAATAAAGCGGCTCATTCCCGGATGGCGGGCCGAACCGCCAGAACAGAGGAATGTGCTAACGTCCCCACCATCTGGGTAACCTCCACAAGCTTTTACTTCCCTCCTGACCTCCCTGCCCCCGTTACATAAGGATAAATCTCCCCGCCATGCATCCTAATCCGTAACCAGAGGATGAGGACAGACAATTCCCGACTCAGAACCCGGTGCCTTGCGTTCTTGATGAAGAGAGAGGAGGTGGAGGTGCAGAAAAGGCCCTCCAAAGAGGCCAACTCAACTACAGTAATAAGAGTCAGCTCAGGACATGTTTCGCAAAAAAAAACAAACCCCAAAAATAAAACAGCGAGTCACAAGGGACAGATCACAAATTTGGTGTTACTTTATTTTTATGCGCAAGAACTAAATCCAGCTTTTATTGTTGCAACTAATAAAATAATATATCTTTTAAGGACAAACTCAGGAACAAAACATCTTTATTTTATTCTGTTTGAGCTGAATTTTCATCCCATCTGTTTTTCCAGTCAGATTTTAAAGTGGCAGTATTATGTGATGTCAATTTTTTTTAGCTTTATATCATGTTATGATGTTGTGATCAAAGCTTGCCTGAGTCATTGCTTTGATTCTTTCATGCATATTTGAGAAATCCTTTCATCTCCCCTGGCCACCATTCAGCTGTAGAAAACGCCTGGTTGGGCCTCGCCCCGCGGTTTCAAAGCTTCTGCCTCACAGAGCAGAACCTTCCCACACTGCTCCTTCAGACTAGCCAGCTTCAATTAGCAAACATCTAGTGGAACGGCGCATCTGCTGAGCTCATTATAGGAGCTACTTCTCAGTGAAACGCAGGTAAAAACGTTGCTAAAGAGTTAATAGAGGAGCCATGTTGTGATGACTTCCTGGAGGTGGAGTTCCAGAAAGAGCTGGAGTTTTTAAAGAGACAAAGACCCAATTTCAATACATTAAATATTACAATGAAATTTCTTTTAAGTCATATTTCACATATATAGCATTTTTATAACAACTGAAGGTAACATTGTTACTTGATTGTATTATAAAATGAGACTATAAGCCAGGAAAACACATACTACTGCCCCTTTAAGGCTGTAAAGCTACCATCAGTTATCCCAAATTTCCTCTGTGAGTTGAATTTAGTTACTATTTACGGATGAATTAAGAGTCTAGTGTTAAAAGGCTTTTGCAAACCTAGTTTTTTTCCTCCCATATTAACAGAAGGACCTTACTTAAACCCAACAGAGAAATGTGCAGTCTCTGCACCGACTCTGAACTTAAGAGAAAATTACCATGTACACAGTGTAGTGTGGTGTGTATTCTGTTTTGCACTGTAACAAATTTTACTGGACGATAAACTGTCCTAGAAATCATTGTGATAAACAATAAACAATACTGATAATTAGTACAAATTCACTCTCAAAGATCAATACTCTTACAATTTGTAAGGAACATTTTACACTGGAACTAGAAGATATTTTAAACACAAAAAATCATTTTCTGTGAAGAAAAAAGTTAAATATAAAAAATTACCCATATATAAATATATATAAAAATATACGCAGAAATTATGAAGAGGTGCCAAATCAGTTATTAAACAACATATTTATAATTTTACTTTCAAATGACAAAACACAAACATGTTCAAGATGTGGAAATAATATATATATATATATATATATATATATATATATATATATATATATATATATATATATATATATATATATATATATATATATATATATATATATATATATATATATATATAGCAGATTAAATTAAAAGTGGTCTGCTTTTTTTTGAATCTGTGGACCTCAACCATGGATCCAAACTATATAAAAGTTAGTGTTTGCCGATGCGGCTACAGGCTCTTACTTGAATTGGTTCCTTAGTCAGCCTCATAGGTCCCACACATTCCTCTGTGGCAGAAACCTGCAGAAGAAACAGAAATAATTATCAACAGAGAACAAACACACAAACAACTAAAAACGGTGCGAGCATCTCTCACCATTTTACCATTGATGTCAAGAAGCATATTGGCATATTGCTTTTGTCTTGTTCAACCTGTCTGTTAGTGCTTCTAATCTTCTTCTCTGCTTGCTTTCGGTTTTAAGTCCACACAGCAACGAATGCTGTCAGAAAGGAGACGTGCTGAGTTAAACTCTCCCCTCCTAATATTCCGTCTGAATCCGTCGCTGCAGCTTTTGCGGTTCAACTCGCCCAGGCTGCAGTCATGGGTATTTTTCACGGAGCTAGAGCGGTCTGCAGCCGTTCGCTGCAAACCTCTTTAGAGGGTATTAGCTGCCTAGCCACAGACTGAACCCGCCGGGTTTACCGGCTTAATCCCACTGCGGGATCATCTCACACACCGCGCTGCAGCTACGTGTGTGTGTGCGCGCGTTTTCTCTTCACGCACTTCTTCTAAACCACATGCGTCACTCAGGTGTGAATGAGCAACTCAGCTGCATGTGCATCTTGACAAGCATATGCGTACACAGGCACGGGTAATGTCACGCTCAGAGGGAACAAGAGGTGCGTTATGTAATGAAATACTGTAGCTGACACAGCAGGAGCTCCGTGTGTCATGTTTTGGTATTAGCTTCTGTAAATCCACTTGTTTGTGAGCTGGGTGTCTCTTAAGCAGGGGTCTTAGACAGAAGATGCACTCATACGCCACAAAGGCCCGGGGGGACGCGTTCTGTCTGTGGGGCAAAGCAAATACTCTTTAGGGATAAGGAAGGTCAGGGTGTAAGGTGGTGGAGTTTGGCTTTGTGCACAAGCTATTTAACTGTCATATAAACGGTGTAAAGAAGGTAGGAGGCGGTGACTCAACCGCCCACCATGACGCCGCTATCCGTCATCAGTAATTAGACCTAAAGGGATGTGTTTTTGCCCACATGAAATCTCAAGTACCCACTACAAATTTCTAACAGCATCGTCAGACGACCAACACTTTGAGAATCTCAGACAGTGCATAGAAGCAGAGAGGACTGAATCACTGCTGAACGTGTCAAATGTGGACAAGAGCAAACTCCAAATATGTCAGGTCGGGGGTCGGCTTCACGGGAACCTGAGTAAGTAATTGTGTTTTATTTAAGGACGACACTGCCAGATGTGACACAGAACAGGAAGAAGAGGAAGCAGAAGTCAGAACAGGTCTGAAAGCAAATCATGAGAACAAATCGGAGAGAAAATGCTCAGTAAACGTAACGCTGCATCAGAAATGTGGAGGGAAGTCGTCGTGGTTTGGTTGGAGAGAATTTCACAGAAGTCTGTTGCAGATGCAAAAGTAGATGAAGGGACAACACTGATGTGATGCAGGAGTCTTTAGAAGACTGACGAAGTGTTTACACTTTATACGGATTCAGACAATAGGGAAGAAGCGAGGAGACAGGATGTTTTAAAGAAAAAGCAGAGGAATAAGACAACGGCTTAATTTAATTTTACAAGTCTGAAAAAAGTTACAGGAGACATGCTGGAAAAAATAATAATAATAAAGATTAAAGAAGAGGGGGAAATGCTCATTAATTGATTTTTATAATGACACAAATCATTAGGTAGAAAAATAAAAATAATACAACTGCTTTTGGTTTTGTTGATTTTTAGCTCTATTTGAGTTCATTTTCCTGGGAATTAAATCCACAACATTAAATAAGCATTTCTTTAAGTGCCCTCTAAAAAAGACATTTTTGCAAACTGGACATCATGGTTGCCATGAAAACGGGCCCTGAAAACATGCAATTACAACCAGACGCATCCTCACCAACACGCCTTCACATTGTGTTTGTGTCCTCGGGTCGCGAATGAAATGAAGACACTGCTGCAAAGCCTCAAATACTAAAGGAAGATTCGGCCATTGATATTTGTAGCTCAACTCTAAACGATCTGAGTCCTGAAATGTTTGGACGCAGCATGGACAGAAAACCACAAGTGCCATAGTTCAGTAGTTTCAAAATGTACAATATTTCATATAAGTTAATCTCACTTTATCACCTATTAATGAATAATATAATGTAATTTATTTAAGAAGATCTGAAACAACAAAACTATTTTGAAAATCAGAAAAGTTTGAAACTGAAAAAAATGTGAAGCTAAAAAAAACAAATCTTCAATTTGAAAAAAAAAATCGAAACTGGAAAAAACATGTGAAGTTGCAAATAAATATGTTAAAAACTAAGGTTCCATACACAAAGAGAACATTAGTCATGTCTTTAAACGGTAAATATAAAATAATTTTCTCTTAGTTATCATAGTTGGGGGCTCGTCTAGGATTATCTTGTCACTGGCCGGACTTTTAGCAGAAGAGTTCTTTGTTGTTCAGACAGGATTTGGTGTAATTTGGATCACAATCCTTGCAACGAGCCTTCATCTTATCTGCAGATCACATGGCCTTCAATAGTATGGATATACTTGAGGTTGACCTCGGTCTGCACACAGCTACACATTTCAGTCTTATCTGCAGCGATTCCATGAAACCAGTGACATGCTCTCACTTATCTACTGATGCTCTGACATAACTTTCCTTTGTCATGTGGGAAAACGTTAACAGCTTTCTTCAAGAGTCACGGTCAGACTACGAGGAATGGCCGGGAAAAAAGTCCTTTGTTTCGTTGATTTGCTCTAAGTGGAGTGTGAAAACAATGAAGTTTCATGGAAACATGACAAAAACTTCTCCAGAAGTTAATGATGAAACAAAACCAGTTAAAGATATTTTAAAAATCCTCAGTGGACCAAGTGAAGTAGCTTTGTCATCCATCCCATTTTTCTTTGTGGATGTCGCTTGTGCGTCAGATTTACCGGCGTACCAGAAACTGAAAGACGAAGGTTCTGCATTTGGACTTTTGTATGTTAAACAAAACAAAGAAAAAGGCAAATAAATGTCTTAATTAAAAGCATTCAAATCTAAATAATTAATTTATATGTAAAAGTCCCAACCCTACCTATATTTGACAAAAAATGTTTTTTAAAGATGCCAACCTTGAGAAGTTCCTGGTGTATTTAAGTGTGCTCTATCAGTGCATTTATCAACTAAATTTGTAATTCAGGACATTGATGTGTGTGATAAGAAAAAAAGAAACATTTCAAATCAATTCAGCCTGTCTTTCTGTATCCGATCCATATCGGACGATTTTAAACCTCAGATATTGGTATCCGAAGTGGAACAAATTGGATCAGTGCATCCCTGGCTTACAACAGCCCTACAGTCACTGCATGTCTTTCCCCCAACTCCAATGCATAATCCATGGATCATTTGACACATAACACAGTTAGTTTGTAATGGAAATCAACAAGCAATTGCATATATTTCTGGTTTAAGGTAGTTTTCCACCATTTTGTTCGGAACAGTTAATATGTTAGTGAAACGTTTTGATTAACTTCACTGTATTTCTGGCTAGTGATTATGACACTGCCCAAACAAACTAAATTAGATGAAAATTAATAATAAATAGCTAGATTTTTTGTTGCACAAAGGTTTTCATCTTTAGCAAAAAGCTAATAGTAAATCAATACTCACAATGTGTGATTAAATTTCAACTTAATACTTTCCGACATTCAAAGACTTGAGGATCTGAGCGTTGCTTAACAGTATCTGATGGGGTATTTTCATCAAGTCCAAATAAGTCAATACATTCAATAATCTTCTCCTCTGGGAACAGAGCACTGCCGGCTCCAGAATGGTTTGAATGAAGCTGTTCTACCGGACTTGTTCAGGACCAGGCATGCACTGCTGTGATTAAAGCTCAAGATGGTTTGCATTTACTCCAGAGAAATGAAACAGGTTTGGGAAATCTTTACACCCTTTGGTTCACAATCTGCACGTCCTCCACATGTTTCTCATCAACTCGTGAAGGTCGCTAATTGATGCTAATCAAAATGATCTGGGGGGTTAAACAACAGTGACGGACAGACAATTGCTCCAACTCTCCCATCAGGTGCCGTCAAACCAGAGCAGAAAAAAACAAAAAAACGGACGGGCGCAGCAGCATGATGTCATTCAAAGGGCCGGATAAAAGCCTGAGTCAGGGGGAAATAATGTGGGAATTGTGACAGAACAGTGACATGTTAGTTTCATCCAGCTGTTACATACATGTAAATATACATGATTATGATCATTATACGAAATGATTGCGGTCAGCGCCAATAATTGCGGCCGGCGATTATGTAACAACTGTGACAGGCCTAATTACAACCAAACACTGCATGACTGTGTGTGGAGAGATTTCAGCCAAAAGTTTCCAAAAACTCTTTTTTTCTTTTCTCCTTGCACAAAAAAATGCATTCTGATCAAGTCAATATGGGATTTTTTTAAAGAAAAGAAAAAAAATATATGAAGATGCCAAGCTTGAGAAGCACAACACCTCTAAACAATGTGCATAACCATTTTTTTTCACTGTCTGACTAAATTAGGACAATACTTAACGTTTCACTACAAAACGTTTGTGCTCGAATGAGGTGGGTTTTTTCAGCTGTATTGAAATTGGTGTATTTTGCAAAACTAGAAAGAAAACGTTCTTTCCACATCAAATATGACCAACAATCGGATGTTACTACTGGTGGAAATGACAAAGAAGACGACAGGAAGTGTTAGGAGGATGATGCCACGGCATATTTTTAACGCCATATTGTGTGAACAAACTCATTCATGTGTGATTTTAATTGTGTTTCTTATTTAATGGAAACACCTCACTTACAAAATTGTCTTTTTCCGACATTAGGGAATATCGACAAACCTATCGTCTCATCGAGTGAACTGAATGTAATGCTGCCGCAGCCCAACTGATCTTGAACTTTTGCACAGTTATGATGGTGAGAAGTTGCCAGTAACACTCTGATCTGTGTATTGTAAGTCAGCGACTCTCCACAAAGCCCCCATGGTGTTATCTCTAAATCAGCATCAGCTCTTCTACATGTGACCATTCACACTCCTGCTG